GGGTTACCGTGTGACCCAACAACTCCATTCCTGGGTGTGTACTCAAGAGAAGTGAGAACCCATGTCCACATGAGAACTTACACACAAATGTTCACTGCAGCATAATTCATGATCGCCAAAAGACAGAAGCGACCCAAACATCCATCAGCTGATGAATGGATGAAGACAATGTGGTAGATTTGTGTGATTCGCTCCACTCGGCCATGGAAAGGAAGGAAGGGCCCTCGCCTACAGCGTGGATGGATCTTCAAACACTGTGCTAAGTGAAATAAGCCAGACACAAAAGGACAAATATCACACGACTTCATTAGTACAAAACATCCAGAATAGGCAAATCCACAGAGACAGAAAGGTCAGCAGGGGATGGAGAATGGGTGCAAGGCTTATTTTGTGGGAGATGAAAATGTTTTGGGATTAAATAGTGCTGATGGAGTGATGTTGTGGCCCCGTGAGTGAAACCACTGCTTGGGACACCCACAGCCCAGTTTGATTCCTGGCTACTCTGCTTCTGATCCAGCTTCCTGCTAATACGCCTGGGAAGTGACAAATGACGGCCCAAGTTCTTAGGTTCCTGCCACGACACGGGAGACCTGGATGGAGTTCTGGGCTCTTACTGGCCTCAGTCTGACCCAGCCCTGGCTATCTTGGGCATCTAGGAAGTGAGCCAGTGGAAGGGAGAGCTCTCTGTCTCTATCTTTGTAGTACATGCATACATTCACACATAAACGTCTATAAATAGTGTTGATGGCTGCACAACTTTGTGACTATACTAAAAACAACTAAATTGTATGGTGTGTAGCAATATAACCATTACTAGGAAAAAACAGCCTTAAACATTTCAGCTGAGCATGCTCTGACAGGGAGGGGCAAGTGGGATGGGCATTGCGGGCAGTGGAGCACGGTGAGGCCCCCTCCCTGAGCTGCACCTGCTCTGAAGCGGCTACAGGACCACAAACCATTTCTGAGCCCACAGAAATTGAAAGGTCCTGCTAGGCTTCCACTACCCTCCTTCTCTGCCACCCTGGGCCGCCTCCTGTGAGACCAGCCCTAAGCCACTTCCCTGGTCTCTCCATGTCCACCTTTGTCCCCCGCCTCCCTTAAGTCTGATCTCCAATCAGCAGAGAGATGCCGTCAAACAGAGGTACATGACATCAGCCCTCTGCTCAGAACCTGCACTGGCTCCCCACCACCAAACGCCCAAGTCCTTCCAATGGCCCACAAGGCGTGATGTGGTATGCGAACCCCTTGCTTCCCCCGTCCCCCCACAGACACACCCCAGCCTCCCTGCTCACACCCCTGCTTCCATCTCCTCCAGAACGCATGCTCACTGCTGCCCTCCCGCTTGGGCTTGCTCTCTGCCTGCAAGACTCTTCCCAGGAAGCTCCAGGGCGCCTTCCCACACTTCCACTGCTTGATTCTCACCTTATCATGGGAACCTTCCTCGACCACCCTACTGCAAGTGGCCATCCCCACCCCCATCGCCTTAACCCCTGGCCCTGTTTATTTTTCTCAATAGCATTTACTGGAGCTGATGCTGTGGCGTGGCAGGTTAAGCCTTGGCCTACAGCCCCGGCATCCCATATGGGTGCCTGTTAGAGTGCCGGCTGCTCCACTTCCAATCCAGCTCCCTGCTATAGCTCCTGGGAAAGCAGCAGAGGGTTTGCCCAAAGTGCTTGGGTCCCTGCACCCACATGGGAGACCTGGAGGAAGCTCCTGGCTCCCAGCTTCGGCCTGACCCACTTAGGGTGTGAACCAGTGGGTACAAAATCAATCAATCAATCTCTATCTCTCTCTCTCTCTCAATCCCCTTCTGTAATTCTGACATAAATATCTTTTAAAAATAGTATTTACCACCGTTAATGCATCATATATATCACACTTAGAAATATATTTTATATGCCATAGATTTATATATCATAACTATCTGTCTTTCATCCCAGTGGAAGGAACTGAAGACCACCCACAAAACCAAAAAACAAGGTTATTCATTCCGAGTTACTGCTGCGAGGGAGTCAGTCCCCAGCATGTTTTGGTTGAGATCCTGAGGCAGGCAGAGAAGAGGGAATGGATGCCGCAGCTGTGCCGTGGCTGCACACTGTTGGCACGGGAGGCTGTCGGTGAGCTAACTGGAGGCAGCACACCCTATGTGATTGCTTAGGAGTGCATACTTGGCTTTCTCTGGTTGGTCCGAAATCAGAAGCAGGGACAAAAACTAGGGAAATGCTCCACTATTAGTCAGGTGTTGGCCTTTGGAACCCATTGTTCCTGGGGTTATTGTTGAGCTTCCTAGATTGTTGCTAGAGATAGGAGCTGGCTTCCTGGCTCTGAGCGGCAGGTTTCCTGGGTTGTTTGTTGTAGATAAGGGAGGCGGTTTCCTGGATGGGTCAGAGTTCTATTTTTATATGTGGTGCAGCCTGTATCTACTTGCATATTCAGACTCCCATTCCTCACTGAAATGTGAACAGTAAGAACCTGACTTTCTTTTGCGTTGTGTCACCGTGGCCTAGAATAATGGTTGCTGTCTATGGGCACTCAGTAACTATTTGTTATTGACTATAATAAAGTTCCTCCAAGTCTAGTTAGGAAGATTGCAACTCTGCCACATGACCACAGGAGAAAACCAACTACATGCAATCCATTTCTGTTTTTTTTTTTTTTTTAAAAGGCAGAGTTACAGAGACAGAGAGAGAGAGAGGTCTTCCATCCACTGGTTCACTCCCCCAAATGGCCACAATAGCCAGAGCTGGGACAATTCAAAGCCAAGAGCTTCTTCTAGGTCTCCCATGTGGGTATAGGGGCCCAATCACTTGGGCCATCTTCGGCTGCCTTCCCAGGCACATGAGCAGGGAGCTGGATTGGAAATGGAGCAGCTGGGACTTGAACAGGCACCCATATGGGGTGTTAGCGCCTGGTTTTACCTGCTACGCCAGTGCTGCCTCGCCATGCACCCCATTTCTACAAACGCTGGTTGAGTGCCGTTAGTTTCTGCAAATGCTCATTGAATGGGCTGGGTGAGGCCACTGCAGGACACACAACCCAAGTATTGGCTACAAATGGATTGCAGCCAGGATTCCGACTGCTTTGGCTTTTTGCTCAGAAAGCGGCTTCTTTTGCCTCCCACTTTGAATTTCCCCCCACTTTTTTTTTTTAAGCCGATCCAAAGCCAGGAGCCAGGAACTTCTTCTGGGTCTCTCACATGGGTGCAGGGGCCCAAGGACTTCAGCCATCTGCTACTGCTTTCCCAGGCCACAGCAGAGAGCTGGATGGGAAGCGGAGCTGCCGAGACTTGAACCGGTGCCCAGACAGGATGCCAGCACTGCAGGCGGAGGCTTTCACCCACTATGCCACAGCGCCAGCCCCCTTGCCCTCACTTTTAAGAGCCCTTCAGGTCCCAGTGTTGGATTATACTTTCAGGGACGGCTCGGCCACCTCGGGCTTCTCCAGCACTCACTACATCTAGAACCTGCTGAGCTCTTCTGGAGGAGTGCCTGTGTGGTGACTGTCTCTTTAAGGAGCTGCTGCTCTCCTCGATTGGATTATTTCTTTAGCACAGAAGCCACGGCCTGCATCCAACGCAGGTGCAATATAGGCGGGCATCAGTGAGCTGTCTTTCCCAGCCACTCCATTTGACCTTTCTCCCAAGCTCCAGATCAAACGTCTCCCTGACCCCAGGATTCTCCCATCTTCCGCACACACGAGTCACACCTGCCTCACAGCTGCTGGCAGGAGGGAGGTGTGTATTCACAGGATGCTGGCTGGTGACCCAGGGCTGGGGCTCTTGGGCATCTCCACTACTTTTTGATAAGGAATCCCATCAAGTTTTTGTTTTGGCTTGGGGTTTGAGAGGCACAGAGACAGAGAGAGTTCCTGTTTGCTTGTTCACTCTCCAAATGCCTGCAACAGCTAGAGCTGGGCTGGGCTGGAGCCCGGAGCCAGGAATTCAATCTAGGTCTTCCACCTGGATGGTAGGAACTCAATTACTAGAGCCATCATTGCTCCCAGGGTCTGCATTAGCAAAAATGTTGGAGTCAGGAGCCACAGCTGGGCACCAAGCCCAGGAACTACAATATACGACACAGGTGTCCTAAATGGCACCTTTTTATTTTTTAAGGCAGGAAGAAATAGAACTCCCATCATTCCTTGAGTACCCATAGCAACCAGCACTGGGTTCGGCAGAAACCAGAAGGAAGACCACCATCCAGATCTCTTAGGTTAGCAACAGAGACCCAAACACTTGACCCATCATCTGCTGCCTCCCAGGGTACACATTACTAAAAGGTGGAATTGGGAGCAGAGGTGGGACTCGAACCCTAGCAGTCTGATATGGGAGGCAGGTATCCCAAGTGGCGGCATCTTAACCACCTTGCCAAACACCTGCTCCCTGCTGTCTTAACTGCTAGGCCAAAGGCCCATCCCCCAAGTTTTCTTTTTACATATTTTAATGGTTCTGAGGGATCTGTTCCTCTGAAAAGGAGATTCCAGGCTAGGGTTAACTCATGTTCAAAAGAAACACAGAACCTAGACACAGGCCAGGCTGGGACTGGAGGTAGAGTCCACTCTACAGCTGAGCAGCCGGCTACACGCAGCCGCATAGACACAGTGGGAGCCCCACCAGGACCAGGGGCTGGGGCTGTGTGTTCACTACAGACTCAACACCTGCCACCTGTAGTCGTTCTGTAACTAGGAAGGAATGGGAGGTAGGAACACATGCCTAGTTTCAAATGAGCAATGCCATGTTTCAATGGCAATCACTTCCAGTGGCCACTCATTTTGTCACTTTCTGTAATCTGCCATCACAAGACACAGCAAATAAAAAGGCAAACCAGAGCACGACCGCCGTGAAATAGGGCTCTGAGAGCCAAAGCTGCTTTTCCCGGTTCCTGCGAGTGAGCCCTGTGTGCTTTCCACACGTGCACCTGATTTGCAGTGGCGCACAAGGAAAGTGCGCCCCCTTCAGGATGTCCCGTGCAGTTTCAGATCAACAGTTCAAACAACAGGTGTAAAGTCCGAATTGTTTATTGGAAAGGCAGAGGGACAGAAAGTGAGAGATCGTCCATCTGCTGGTTCACTTCCCCGAATGGCTGCAATGGCTGGGGCTGGGCCAGGCTGATACTTGGAGCCTGGATGTTCATCTGGGTTTTCCACACAGGTGGGAGGGGTGAAAGTACTTCGGCCATTTTCCACTGCTTTTCCAAATGGGTTAGCAGAAAGCTGGTTGGGAAGCAGAGCAGCCAGGACTCACACCAGCCTTCTGGTATGGGATGCCCACATCACAAATAGCAGCTTAACTTGGCCCCAAAGTAACAGGTTTAAACTCGACAATAACAAGTCTACATAGTCGAATCCTGGCATGTGGGTGAATGTATTTCATAAGCAGTCACACCAGGGAAGTGAGCATGGGTGAGAACTGATCTACATGTTGAAGGCTGCAGAAGAGAAAAGTGGCTTCACTTCATTTAGGCAACTTCTGTTTCCCTCCAAACACGGTGAATAGAAACAAAATGCCCTTATCCCTGGACCCCAAACTTCCAGATGTCCCTTCATCAAAGAACCAAATATGCAAAAGAAGAGGGGGTGCAAGACTTCCCTCCGCTGAGGTCTCCTGGTGCCGCTCCCGCACCCATTTCTCAGATTCCTCAGGATCCACCTTGGGGCTTGGAAGGCCATCAGCTCTTCCCGCATCTCCCAGGAAGACGCTGGGCTCTTCCGACAGACCCCAGCCCTTGGGAAGTCCCTTCCTGTGCCTAACTTAGATCTCTCCTGGCCATGCAGACGATTCCCTCTTGCCTGGGTATCGTAGGAGAACGAACAGCTGCTCACCGCCCTCCTTTTAATCATCCTTAATGGGCTTATAAACAGTTATTAAGGTCCCCTTCAGCCTTTGCACAGCCTCATTTTACTTGCATTGAAGCCGAGAGCTTCGGAGGAAGGCATTTGACTCGGGGCCCCACAGACTTGCAAAGTCTTAAATGGGTAATCAGCCACTTCACCCACTTTACACCACACGAATGAACAGCTCTGCCTGCTTCGGCAAAATTGAAGCCCATTCAAGGGAGCTCTGTAGCAGCCAGCCCTTATTAACAAATCACACCCAACCCGGGGTAGGCCAGGGCACTTCACAAATGCTTCTCTGTTTTTGAGAAGTTGCGCTGATGCACGGCCATACAGAAAACAGGCAGCTGCTCTCTCTGAAATTCTTCCTTTGCAGGATGGTTCCTGCCTGTCTCCCACAGGCCATTGTGGGCCTCAGGGTGAGGGTGGAGGTGGGGGTGGGGGTCCCTCCCATCTGATGCCCAGCTGGGAAAGCAAGTCCTGCTTTCATCGGCTCTCACCGGGTCCTTGCTTGGGATTATTGGACTGAGGCCAGAGCCGCTGGGGTGCAGGGCAGGGAGCTACAGCCAGGCTTGTTCACTCTCTTCAGGGCACACACTGGAAACTCCATTTCCTAGACAATCATTGCATCACTCACTCTCAGTTTGCTGCTCACAACAATGGATGAAAGTCTGAATTGTGTGCTTGGGTAGAGCTTCCCATGTGTCTCTCCTCAGAGCCATGCGATTCCTGCCATCTACAGGAAGTGGGGAGGAACAGGGCACGCAGATTGTACCACTGGAGTGTTCCAGCTCTGAGAAAAACAGAGGCCTCGCTTTGCGTTCTTTTAACCAGAATGGCTAAAATTACAAAGACTGACAATTCCAAGTGTTGGCAAGGATATTCAGCAGTTGGAACTATGGATCTTTGCTGCTGGAGTGGGCATTAACACCACCACTCTGGGACTCTTTGGTAATATGCAGCAATTGCTCCGGCAATCGCAGGCCCTGGTACTCGCTCAGATGCCATGAGTGTTTACCTTCACTGTTCTGCCTCTTTCAGAAAGACGTGAGGTGATTCACAAAGGTGTGCTTGGTGCTGAACCCTAGAGTATGGTTCAGTGAAGGAAACTGGGTGATGCTAAAATGAAGGCAGAGAAAGAAGACGAAAGCAGACGTGGTGTGGTCTTCAGAAAGTCCTCTGCTCTTCCAGGGGCGAGCTGAACAGAGCTTCCCAGCAGGAAATGCAAAGAAGGAACGCAGCAACTGGGCGTCCAGAAGTTCACAGTCTCAGCAGATTGGACGCCGTCTCAGAAGGCAACTGTGTGATCCAACCTCTTTCAATTTGCTTAAACATCATTACATACCCTATGGGGACTCCTGAGTCCACACTGTGCCAAGCCCCCCACTGCCTCCTTAGAACTCAGGTCAAGGCAGCACCCTGCTGTCACTCAGCCCTCCCCTGGTGTTACCTGGACACCACTTAATTTCCTGGGTGGGGTCTGGGGGAAACCCTGCTCATGAGGGCTGGGTTCCTGTGCTTCGGTTTGCCAGCCCCATTTTGGGAAGCCAGGCCAGCGTCCGCAGCAGGTGCGTTGTCACTCAGCCCATCTATTTCCTGCTCAGGGCCCCTCCGTGGCCCCAGCCCTTCCCCATCAACAACTCTGTGTGGGGCAGCTCCCCAGGGGCTGGGCTCTCTCCATCTTGGCATTTGGGTTAGCAGGTCTTTCCACTTTCTGGCTCCTGTTTTGGAGTTGAATTCATATATTTTCCCAGTCACTAGGGAGGAAAAAATAGAACAATCGTATAAATCAAAGAATTCAAGTCATCCTCTTCCCCTCGCACCACCACCGCCACCCCTGCTCTGTCTGACTCCTAAGGAAAGGTAAAGCATGCTGGAATGCGGGACTCACTGGGGGCCGGCTCCGTGGCATAGCAGATTAAGCCGCTGCTTGCCATACCGGCCGCCCACATCACCAGGGCGTCAGTTCGAGTCCCAGCTGCTTCGCTTCTGACCTAGCTCCTTGCTAATACACCTGGGAAGGCAGAGAAAGATGGACCAAGTGTTTGGGCCCCTGCCACTCAGGTGGGAGACTCCGATGGCTGGTCCTGCGTGGCTCAGCCCCGGCCATTGTGGCCATTTGGGGGCGTGAACCAGCCAATGCAAGATCTCTGTCTCTCTTTGTCACTCTGCTTTTCAAATAAATAAAATAAATCTTTATTAAATAAAAAAGCGCATCTCTGAGCAAGAAAGCAGGGTTTGAACGGTGGTCCCCAGCCTGCCCTCTCAACAAGCCACTCAGAACACATGATGGCACCTCCCATCACACCTCTCCAGGAGGCAAGGTCAGTGAGAATCCCAAGGCCATCCTACTTGGGAGAGGTGGAGGCCTTGGAAACCCAGAACACCATGCAGGTGTTGCATAAATTAGGTCCGAGCTGTACTGGGGTCAACCATTGCTCTCTAATTTATTTTGTTTGTTTGCAAAAAACCCTTGCGTCCCTGCTGTCAGAAGGAATTCACCAAGCAAGGAAGATTTTTATTTACAGGAGGTTGCGTAGAGATCCGTAGACACAGCCGCACGAATCCGGCCCCACTGGAGATCCCGCAAGGCAGCCATTTTTGACTGTGACACAGCCAGCAGACGCTCACTGCCGCGTTGGTTCACATTAGGCCAAGTTGGCGCGTTCCTTCCTCTCTCAGGCACACAAAACCCCACAAAAGTCCTTTCCAAGCTCTTGCTGGGGAAGACGGGTGGAAGGCAAGCCCCTGCGCCTGCCATTTCCACCCAGCGAGAGAGGTCTCTGGGCTCAGGATCCCACCAGCACTTATGCTAATGCGGGCACATTATGGTAACAAGTACCTAATAATAGAGGGGAATCGGATTCCACAGCAGCAGCAGCCTCTTGCTGGAGAGGAGCCATCCCCTCGCAGGAGGACCTGCGCGCTTTGCTTTGCATCGGAAGGTGGCACGCAGCCAGCACACTTGCCTCCTGCATTTGGTTGCCTTCTTTTATTCACGTCTATAATTGAGCCTTTGTGAGTTGGAGTGGAAAGGAGCTCATTTCGAGGGCGTGATGAGAGCCCCAGCCGCCAGCTTGACCTTCTGTTTACCTTGCTCACCGAGAGGGGATTCTTGGCCCTAGGCTATGGAGAAAAGACCCCAAACCTGCCTTTCCCTCTCCCTTCACTGTGGATATAGGATGCTACCAGAAGCATTCTGGAAGGGGGGGGGGTACCAACGAGCAGAGGGAAAATGCGAATTCTTCATTCACCCCTTCTTCAAATTGCTTCATGCTGCAGGAGGGGCGGCCTGAGAAAGAGGAACCTTTAGGTTGGACCCCCAGTGAGGCCTCGCTCACCAATCTGTACATGAGCGCCTGGGAGCCAGCTGTGCTCACGGTGTATTGTAGCCGAGGAAGGACTGCCGGCACCCTAGGCAAGGCAGCCAAAGGGATTGACAAACTGAGTTAAGAGCAGGAAATTGCATAAGGCCCCCTGGGGCTCTGCCGGCCTGGACTATGAAAAGCTTTCTTATGGCTGGCAATAGCACTTAATTACCTGGGTCTGTGGCCTCCCCATCAAAGACGGTGCTCATCTGGACAGTTTCCTAAGGAGAGGAAACAGACAGCCTCAGACACAGCCCGGCACTCCCCGCCTCTTCCCCAGGCGAGGCCCCTCCTCCTCCTCACAGCCCTAGGTGGGGGGTCCTTCCTCAAAGCCCCCTTGGCATTTGTTTATTCAACAGGGACTGTGCTGGATGCTAGGGGCAGAGCAGTGACCAAGGCAGGTGTGGTTAGGGCCTGGACAAAGCCAGCCACTGATGAACAGAGCCCGCGATACAGGCTGTGACAGCGGAGATGTGTTGGGCAATGTGGAGGCGGGAGCCCTTCAATGCACACTTGGGGATTTAGGAGATATCTAAGCTCATAGGAGGAAGACCGGAAACACCACGCAGCATAGGCTGAGACCTACGTCGCCTCACTGGGGTCATTGCCAGGTAGACCCGTCAGGTGGGCACAAGTGAGCCGCAGGTGCTCCCATCTCTGGCCTGGTACTCCCACCCTCTGCCTCCCCTTGCCTGGGACCAATGCCATGTGTCATCTGGGCCATCCTTGAGCCCTGTACCAGGGACTCTACGCCTCTGTCCCCGATCTGACCTGTGCCCAATGCATTGGTCCCTGGATTCCCGGAAAGCGCCCCCTCCCTCACATAACGCTCTTCACTGGTGCCAAAGACAGAGCCTGTGGCTACCAAGCGTAATGTGTGGTGTTCAGCAGGACTCTCAGCGCCACTCATCACCATGAACATGATCACCTATTCACTTCCCTGCAGCTCCCCAAGAAGAGAGGAAACAGGGAGTAGATGATCAACTCCTGAACAGCCCCACATTCCACGGTCATGGGGATTTAGTTATGTAATAGACGGATTTAATACAAGTATGCTTCCAAATATCCATGGAAAACAGAATTAAAAGATCAGTTTATTCTGGTACAAAAAACTTTGAAACTGCATGCCTGTGCAGGATCTTCTAAAAGTTTGTGGAAAATGCATATCATGAAAAAAACTATCAAGGGATTTCAACAAGTTTTTGAACCAAAATAAACTTGCCCCTTTTTAAAAACACTCTTTTTAAAAAGATATTTATGTATTTGAAAGGCAGAGTTACAGAGAGAGAGAGGGTGAGAGAGAGAGAGAGAGAGAGAGAGAGAGATTCCATCTGTTAGTTCATCCCCCCCCCCCAAATGGTCCTAATGGCTGAGGCTGGCTCAGGTCGAAGCCAGGAGCCAGGAGCTTCCGCCAGGTCTCCCACATGGGCGCAGGGGCCCAAGGACTTCCACTGTAGGAGTTGGAGCCTTCTGTACTCTGGCTGCTTGCTTGCCTGCTATGCTCCCCTGGAATTTATGGCCCGATGCTTCCCGCCTGTGACTCCCCGTGCCATCCCCTTTGTGTGGCCTTCCCGCCACATAGCATATATAGCCTATACGTTTAAATGAACCAATGAACATGTTGGGTCCCAATACCTTGCCATATAGAGTAAGAAGGTAACCTAGGGAGGAGATGACCTGCACCCTTGCAAGTGTGAGGCTATAAAAACCTCTCTTATGCAAACGAAGGGGCCTTTGCCTGTGCTAAATGGCTGTGTGTGGGTAGGAGGTCCCCCAGCCGGCTGGTAACAAATAAACCTCTGCTTTTGCATCCAGGACTGTGCCTTGTGGGTTGATTGGGAAATTTGGACTCAACACCATCACTTTCCCAGGCCATTAGCAGGGAGCCAGAGTGGAGCATCCTGGGACTCTAACTGGCACCCATATGGTATCACAGGCATCACAGGCAGCAGCTTCACCTGCTATGCCACAACACCAGACCCTAAACTTGCCTTTTAATTCCATGAAATTTTCCAAGTGAGCTCTCACTATGTAGTGCAAAGGCCATCTCTGAGTGGCATTCCCAAGGGTGTTTGACTTAGAGGAAGAAAACTCCATAGACCAGAGATGTCCCTTTTGTCCTGTTTGGAGACTGGCCAGACTGTGTAAGTGTCCTCAGGAGATGGACCTAAAGCTGAAAATGCCAGGACACAGGGCAGGTGCTAGGCAATGTCTAAGACACTGCTGGGGACATACCTGAATCCCATATCGGAGCGCCTGGTTCAAGTCCTGGCTCCATTCCTGACCCAGCTTCCTGCTAATGTGCACCCTGGGAGGCTCAAGTACTTGGGTCCCTGCTGCCCACATGCGATACCTGGATTGCATTCCAGGCTCCTGGCTTCACCCTGGCCCATCTCTGGCTGTTGTGGGCACTTGAGGAGTGAGCCAATGGAAGATTTCTCTATCTCTGTGTTTGTGTGTGTCTCTTTGCCTTTCAAATAAAATGAAAGTACAGAAAAATTTCTTCAAATTCCAGCACACCATGATGACCTCTGCCTTGTATGTATGGGTCTTGGATCCTGCTGAGACTTATTACTGGGGGCGGGGAAGAACTGGGACAGTCCCCTTGAAGGCCCATCACCCGAGCCCACTCTCCAGCTATCCTGTATCTGTATTGTTTTCAAAATGTGTGAGGTCGAGGGAGTCCCCAAAGCCATGTGGCTAAGCGGGCATAGCCAACCCCGGACCCATGCTGTGCTGCCTCTCTATCTGTTTTCTGCAGCGTTGTGGAAGAGCAAAGAAAAATTAAATCCCGTCGAAGGCTGACGTTCTGGTCTTTAAGCTCCACTCCCCCAACTCACTCTCCTGGAGAGCTGGTGTGGATAATAAACATCACTACTCAATATTTATGAAATCCAGTGCTTCTGCAAATAGATCAGCAGACATGTTCAGTGGAGGGAACAAATTCTATCAGGAGCTCGTCACACAGCAATCTGTTCCAGTGGCCAAACGCAAGTGCCTCCCAGAATGACAAAACACCCCAGCAGGCTGCGTGTGGCAGGGCCTGGCTGGGTGGGCAACGCGGGAGCCCCTGGCCGGCCATACTCACCACCACAACCTCTCTCTTGGGATTCTTCATTCCTGCAGGGAATTGGACAGGCAGAAGTTAAGCTTCCTGGGCACTAAATCGACCTTAAAATTCTACCCCTTTGAACTCAATCTTACAGACACGGCAAAGAATTTTGCTGTCTGCAGACATGTTTTTTGGCAGCTTTCTATCTTAGAAACACACACACACACAATTAAACTTTTTTTTTTTTTTTACTTTTTTCCACCTGATTTTTATTACTGGGCCTAAGAATTAACTTTCAAATTTGGTCTCGGAAATAAAAAAAAATTGGGTTGATCATTTGTTTACCATGTGAGGAACTAAGCACTTTTTAAAGAGTAACTTGGATAGAAGACAGTTTGTGAAAACATTTATTAAAATCATCTCACTCAAAATGATCAATAACCATTATCATCAAATTTCTCTGCATGCATGCACATGCCTTGTGATTAAACTAAGGAGTTTAATTTTATTTTTATTATTTATTTGAAAGGCAGAGAGCCAGAGATCTCCTAGCCAGATGCTTACAACAGCGAGGCTTGGGCCAGGCTGATACTAGGAACCTAGAAATGTGGGTCTCCCATGTGGATGGCAATGACCCAAACACTTGAGCCACCATCTGCTGTCTCCCAGGGTGTGCATTAGCAGGAAGCTGGAATCAGGAGCTGAGCCAGGACTCCAACCGAGGCATGTCGCTCCCCCTCTTCGTGGAGGAACGACACAGGACCCTGCGCTGTTCTTTCGTCTGCTCGGCCCTCCCCGGGTTTGCTGCTGGTCCTTCCCGGGTTGGCTACTGTCCCTTCCACCTCCGTGGAAGGGCAGTTCCCCCTGGCCACATTCCCCACTTCCGCAGGGGAGCGGCACACCGCCGGCCGGCTTTCCCGGGGGCTGCACAGGTGTTCCCTCAGATGTTCCCCTTAGATGTTCCTAGTGCATGCCGTCTCTCTCCTCCTTTATAGTCCTCTTCCACCAATCCCAACTCGGCTGCCCACACGCCGAGTACGCTGCTCTCCAATCAGGAGCAAGTCCTACAGTTTATTGGTTGAACTGGAGGCAGCTGTGCAGAAGCTGTTTACTTCTCTCCCAGCGCCATATTGTGGGAGAGCAGATGCATAGAATAAGTCTTAATTCCAGTAACTCAGTCTAGTCCGGATTGCTCCCCACAGAGGCACACCAATGTGAGATTCAAGTGTCCCAAACAATGGCTTCACTGCTGTGCCAAACGCCTGCCCCCAAGAATTATTTTAAAAAAATACTTTCTCAGACTTTGTTCTGTCTCTCCTCAGCGCCTGGAGCCACCATGAGGCATCAACTGGCTGGCCAGGGCAGGGTGGGACACTTCCTCAGGCCTGGGACTTGCACAAGGTCCTTAAAACCATGCAGCTGTTTCTGTTTATCTGATTGCCCCCTGCTCCTCTTTCAAACTAGTCTGACCTGGATAACGTGTGCACTTGACCGCATGGATTACCACTGGGGAGTAAAGTAGCATGTTTTCTTGGCAAAGAAGCACGGGTGCAAGAGCCTTGGGTGTCATCAGGAGTGACCACTGCCCCCAACATGCAGCAGCAAGTATACGCTGTGGTGAACACACGGAGAATTCTTTATTCCTGTCCCACCCAGTGGGGAGCAGGCGGGACCCAGGGGAGAGATCCCAGTGGGTCAAAGGCATCACACTCCGTGCCCTTTCTCCAGCTACCTCTGACCTCTGCTGTGCTCCACTCACGGGCGGTGTGGCTGAGAGCCCTCAAATGCATGACTGAACCCTGATTTCTCTGTCAAGTTTGTGCCTTCAGATGCAGTGCAGCAGAGCACAGAAACAAACAAGCGGGGCTGGCGGCGTGGTGCAGCGGGTTAAACCGCCACTTGCTAGGCCAACATCCCGAATCACGGTGCCACTTTGAGTCCCTGCTGTTCCGATTCCTGTCCAGCTTCCTGTCAATGCACGTGAGAAGGCAGCAGAAGATGACCTAAGTATTTGGGCCTCAGCACCCACGTGGGAGACCCGGATGGAGTTCTTGGCTCCTGACTTTGGCTTAGCCTAGATCTTACTATTGCAGCCGTTTGGGAAGTGAACCAGCAAATGAAAGCATGCTCTCTCCCTCCCTCCCTCTCTCTCTCTCTGTCCATCTCTGTAACTCTGCCTTTCAAATAAAATAATTTTTTTTAAAAAAAATAAGAAAAAAGAAAAATGCTGTACATACCTCCTTTCTTTGCCCTGTGTGGGGAAAGGATGGACATGAAATAACCTGAAAGCATTCTGACCTGGCACACACCCAACACCAGGTCCTTTGGCAGTGGTGATCCTCAGGACTCAGAGGCACCAGGGCTGGGGGCCAACTGGAAGGCTAGACTCCCACCCCGATTCCAAACGAGGCCCCCCATCACTATGGGTTTTAGATGAGGGAATTTGGGGAGTTTGAAAATTATCGCCTTACAGAAATCCAGGGAAGGTGTTGTTCCTGATTAGGACACCTAGTGAGGACACGCCCGCCCCAGGCAGCCTGCCCACAAGTCTTCCTGTCCCATGTTTCTGCCCAGTAGCCGGCTGAGCTGACGGCTCGCGCACAGCAAGGCTGGCAGTTAAACGTTGGCTTCCTGTAGCATGAGGCGCTGCATCTGGACTCCGCCCTTTCCATGATGTCCTTGAACACCATGATTCCATGACCCTGGTTTCATTCTTTGCATTTGCCAAATGTTGGCTGTCACATGGTTCCAGGTCATTCTAGAGTCCAGATCTGAGTCTGAATCATTAGCTGATTTTTTTTTCAGCCAATCATGCTGGAAACAATTAATACTTAGATTGTAGGTTGAAACAGACAAGTTCAAGGTGCATATTTGACATTGGGACCATAAATTGCAAGTGGGCTGCCATGTTTACTGGACTACTCCTTACGGTACTTTACCCAAATCCCATTACAGGACCCTACCATCTGACAAGCTTAACTATCACTCTTTTGGAGTCAGTTTTTTTTTCCCCCACAAATCCATTTGTGGGTAGAGTCCAGGTAAGAATGCCCTTTTTAATTACAGCAGATGGTCAAAGATTTCTTACCTTGAAGTCAAGGGTTGCTAAGAGCAACAAACTTCCCCAATAACAATGTCAAAATTCAATGCGCATCTTTATGCTAATGCCTTATACTTTTATATAATCTTGCATCCACAGATTTGCGAATTAATTGACAGTAGTGAATCTCGAAATGCCTTCAGAAGGCACATGCTTCTTAACGGCCCTCCTTTGTGCCATTGAGGAATTCTAAGACAGAACTTCCAATACCCCAAGGTACTTGGGCATGGCGTTAAACTTGGCATCTAGAATTCTAAACTCACTGGGAATGTGCTGTGAAGAACAATGCAACAAGATTTTTAAAAATACGCCTATAGCATACGAAACATTTGCTCTATGTCTGGAATACCGCTAAGTGCTTATTTGAATGTGTGCATCTAATTGTTGAGTTCTACAAATAAGGAAACTGAAGCTCAGCGGGTTTGAGCCAAGATCTGAAGCGAGGCCCTGTCTAAATCTAAAGCCCAGGCCCAGAGCCAGCTTTGCAAGAGCTGTCGAGAATCCAGAACCCGGCTGAGGCTGGTAACAACGCCCTGCTCTCTTCCATCCCCTCTCCTACCCCGCATCAGCCGGGAGAAGACATTCTTCGGATCGTCACAAGGAGAGACGTCTTACTGAGCAGGTGAGAATGGCAAGGAGAGAAAACAGGCCTGTGCTCATGGCCCCGAGCAGGAAGCCCACAAAGATCGCTGAGTCTCACAAAGCCCCCGTGAGCCACTGCTTTTTAGTGCCTGCTTTCATCCCATCTCAGACTTCCAGTGTTCTACACATAAGGACCCAGCACAGCCTCTCGCTGCTGGCTTCCTGGCATTTCTGCTGCTTTTATCTAGGGCAAGGTCATCACAAGGTTGATGGTCCACCTTCACTGAGAGTCCATCAAGGGAAGGATTCCCTGGGCCCACAGGTGACAAAGAGGGTCCACCAGGAGCGGGGAGCCGGGGTTCCTTGCCCTCAGCTCCAGGCACCTCACTCTGTGGGGAAACCCTAAGTCTCCATTCCCCCGTCTCCTGACAGTGTATCGGCAGCACTGTCCTAAGGAAGTGGAGGAAAGGGCCCAGTGCACTGGCAACTTACAGAAGCTTCTTGTCCACCCTGGTCTTCCAGAAGCAGTGTCTGAGGATGGCTTTGGCCAACAGGACGACCAGGGACACCAGCAGGCCCAGAAGCAAGATGGAGCCCAGCGTGATGACAAAAGGCACATACCATGCAGAGGAAGAGTAAATGTTCTTCTTCAGGATCTGGTAGGTGACCCTGGGCTTGAACAACAGACAGACAGCGGGGAGGGTGAGAGGAGGGTGGTAGCATCTTGGCCATCCAGTACCTCCTGAATGTTGAGTGTCTATCCCAGCACTTTGCAGTCAACTCTTAGTCTTGCTCTACATGCTATACATCTGTGTGGTCACAGCTCTTGCGGTGCAACCCATTGCCTTCTTGATAGGATTTTTCAGATACCCTTTAAGTCAAAATCCAGAACATTCAGGGAACTGAGAAACAACGCCAAGCCTAATTTCTACCTTTCTGCCCCTTCCCCAAAACTAAAAAGCCCATTGGCATTTTTTTTCTGCCCTATCCTCGCATCACCCAGGGGCTAATATAGCCGTTGGCTGTCACTGAAAAGGCAGCAGCCATGGAGGTTGTTGCTTTAACACCTTGTAGGCCTCGCAGTGCTGGCTTGATGCAAGCCGCCACGGCCAGATGAGTGGGCTGATACCGCAGTGAAACCTCAAATTCCGCATCTGTTCCCTAGCGCGCGAGACAGATAACAAAGAAGTTATGGAGATTTCAAAATCAGATTTGGCACAATCAGGTCACACTATAAGCCCAAGAAAGGTGGCAGGTTCCTTACCCAGCTCCTGCTACTGACAGCCTCCATGGCGTCAGATGCACCTGTTCACTGGGATCCTTCGGACTCCAGTGCAGACAGCACAGTCTCAGGGAAGACCCTGAGAAGCCAGACTGGCCAGGGACCCCCCTAGGTAGTTTGCTCAGATTCTGATGAGTTTTCCTCTGGCTACAAATCTAGGCTTGCTCACCAGGGGGTGCGGCTCTTGCTAGGAGCAGGTGGAGGAGGGAAAGGGGCAGGAACAACAGCGCCAATGACCTATTCCTGTGGTCAGAGTCCAAAGCTCCCTCCAGGTCCATTCTGTTATGGCACCATCTGCAGTTACTTTTCTTAATGTGTGTACTTGTTTGTACTCCGTCTCCCTCTCTAGGCCAGCAGCTCTCAGACTTAATTTGTGCATCACAGGCCCACTGGAAGGCTTGTTCAAAGCACGGAGGGCTGGGCCCTACCCCTTAGAGTTTCTGATCCAGTCGGTTGGGAGGGAGGGTGGGGGTTCCAGGTACCCTATCCTGCCTTGGGGGTCATGATGACGACCACCATTGGGTGACATCGGACGTTAATCATCTGGGGAGGGCCTAAGAATTTGTGTTGCTGACAAGTTTGCAGGTGGTGCTGATGCTGTTAGGCCGGGAGCCCCAGCTGGAGAATCACTGACCTAGAATGTTAACTCCGAGAGAGCAGGGCTCCATCTTGGCTTGCTCACTGGTTGACTGGCACATTATAGTCAGTAAGCCAGTATCTGTGCACCGAGTGAATTTTTCTGGAGTGGCAGGTGGGAAGTAGATAGCATACTGATGCAAAGGACCCTTGGAAAGAAGCGGAGAGGCGCATGTGGCAACTGGCTACCTGCTTTCATGGACAGTGACATGCAGGGCTCTGGGGAGCAAGCAGGAAGGGGGCCGGGCAGGGTGAAACTGGATATACGCATGTGAGAACCAGCTCCTGCACCCCATGCACCATGCAGGGTGTGGCTGATCCATCCCGGGTCCCTGCACAAACACTCACTCCATTAGAACAAAGAAGGGATGGTTCTACAGGTGCAAGGTGTCACCCCAATCTTTCGCTACTACTCTGCGTCTTGTCCAGTGCAGCCTCAACACCTCAGCTCTCCTCAGGCCATCCACCTACCTCCTGAATCAAAGGGCTCCCTTGCTGTCCGTCATAAGGGAAGGTAATTCCGGGTGGGGGGGGGTGTCCTTACCCAGGGAGTTGTGGTGACCATCGTGGTTGGCTGGGGGATGACTTTAATACTCAGGGTCACTGTCCCTGTTTCAATAAGAGCCCCGGCCCTCTTCCTGCCCGACAGCAAGTTGTCATCCGTTATGTAGACGAGGAGTCGGTAGTCCCTGGTCTTGTCAAGCCCACCAGCATAGTCAAAGCGGGATGCCAGCAGCAGACGTGTGACGTTGGATCCGGCATCGGGAGAGAAGGTGAAATGACCGTTGATGTTGCCTAGGTGGGATTTGATGCAAGGGTGTTGGAAGGCCACGAGAAAGCAAAATGTAGAAGACAAGTGATCTTTTTCTCAAATGTCCTCGCCTGTTTGAGGCACCAGGGCTGAGCCATTGGAGCCCTCAGCTGCCCCGGAGATTTCTTTTCTTTTCTTTTCTTTTCTTTTCTTTTCTTTTCTTTTCTTTTCTTTTCTTTTCTTTTCTTTTCTTTTCTTTTTTCTTTTTCTTTTCTTTTCTTTTCTTTTTTTTTGACAGACAGAGTTAAACAGTGAGAAAGAGAGACAGAGAGAAAGATCTTCCTTTTCCGTTGGTTCACCCCCCAAAATGGACACTATGGCCAGTGCTGCGCCAATCTGAAGCCAGGAGCCAGGTGCTTCCTCCTGGTCTCCCATGGGGTGCAGGGTCCAAGCACTTGGGCCATCCTCCACTGCCTTCCCGGGCCACAGCAGAGAGCTGGACTGGAAGAGGAGCAACCAGGACAGAACCAACCGGGACTAGAACCCGGGGTGCCGGCGCCGCAGGTGGAGGATTAGTCAAGTGAGCCACAGCGCTGGCCAGCCCCGGAGATTTCATTAACACAGAGAAACTCTTGCTCACAATCAGTGTGGCTGCAAACACAGATGAGTGGAAAATGCACCCTAGACAGCAGGACATGCATCCTAGACGCCCTCGTGCTGGGGATCAGGCAGAGGTTTCTGCATCCCGGGTGCAGCCCCGGCTAGCTTATCACTGATTTGGCACCAACACATGTGACTCACACGGAGACATGAGTGGGCACCAGGAGGAGAGGGCAGGCCACTTCCCTGGTCAGAAGTCAAGCTCCCCCATGACTCCCATAGAACCTGGTCTTACTGCTGACACTGACCCTGGTGCCCCCCAAAGGGAGGGGCCTCCCAGCTTCGCAAGGACTGCAGCCCCAGGTCCTCGTGCACCCACGCCATGAATCCCTGAGCGCGCGTGCGTGCACACACACACACACACACACAGCTCTGCTGGAGCTCCCGGCTCGCAGCTCAGGGAGCCTGGGGCTGAAACGCTGCCTCATGCTCATTCCTCTGGTGCCTCCAGACTCATTACCGACTGCAAACCAGGAAATGGAGCAGGAGATGATGCAAGTTTTACCCCCTCTGCAGCCCAGGGCTCCACGAAGGCCTTGGTGTTCCTGGTAGGGATCATTTCCATCTGCAGCAACTGCAGTCTCTAGGCGGGGCCTGCCCCTGGGCTTTGTGACACAGCCTGTTCCGTTCAAGTTCCTGCTCTGCCAAGGGCTCAGCAGGAGGCCGCGATGGATTTTCACTCTTTCACGCGGAATTGCTCTGCTTGTTTGGGTTTAAATCTCAGGCCCCCAGCACTTCATTAGAGGAGCTATTTTGGTCTAATTTCCATTGAGGGGTGTTCTTTTTTTTTTTTCTTCCCTCCCCACCATGGCATATTTTTAAAGAGAGAAAATGAATGGAGCAGAAGAGAATTCCTGGGGACATGTTTCAAAATGCATTTAATCTATTTAATCTATTCTTATCCAGAGAGAGGCCTGGGGTTCCCTGCCCCCAGTACAAGCTTTCAGGAAGAGAGGCAGTTGAGGGAGCTGGATGGAACTTATTTTTTTTTTTTTAATTACACTCGTGTAGCAATTTAAGGCTGATATCACGGTCTGGGAGTTTGGGAGGGGGTGTGCAGCATCAGTGGGATTTCCCCTTTCCCGAGGCCTCTGAGCGGCCAGGTGTGGGGTCTGGGAGGGTCAGGTGAGAAGGGGAAGTCACGAGCAGCCCCGGGAAGCAGAGGGACAACAGAGGATTTGGAGCAGGACAGACCTGAATGCCAGTCCTGGCTCCACCCCTCTCCAGCTAAATGGCCTTAGGTCAATCATCTAACCTCTCTAAGCCTTTGTTTTCTTGTCTGTAAAATGGGAATAGTTGTGTATCAGGAACCATTAGAGCCTCATCTCTCTCTCCCCTAGCCCCACTGCTCACATCATGCCCAGCTCTGTGTGCGACCGCAGACCCCACCACCTCATTCTCCCAGGACCCCTGTGGAGTCTTCAGGAGCAGGGCCCAGAGAGGTAGACCCCTAGCACTGTACCTGGACCAATGGAGTAACGGAAAGACCTGGGGCTGGAATCAAGGTCAGTGCACGTCAGCTTGAAATTCTGAATATTTGTGCCAACTTGCAGATCCTCTGGGATAGCCAGGACGTAGGAGTTTGGGATACAAACTGGCTTTTCATCATTTTCATCAAGGATGTTCACAGTCACCTAGGGCAGCAAGAAGGAGACCATTCTTGATTATGGGAAACTTGCTGAGGACTTACTATGTACCAGGCCCTGGTCCCGGGGTCAGCCCACTTAACCTCACATGAGATAGACAACACGATTATTCCCATTTTACAAACAAGAAAACAAAGGCTCAGAAAGGTTAGATGATTAGAGAGGGGTGAAGCCAGAATTTGAATTCAGGTTTGTCATGCTCCAAATCCTATGCTGTTAGCCTTATTTATTTATTTATTTATTTATTTGAAAGTTAGAGTGACAGAGAGAGAGCAAGAGGAAAAGAGAAAGATCTTCTGTTTGCTGGTTTCTTCCCCATTTGGCTGCAATAGCTGGGGCTGGGCCAGATGAAAGCCAGGAAGCTAATCCTCCGCCTTGCGGCGCCGGCACACCGGGTTCTAGTCCCGGTTGGGGTGCCAGATTCTGTTCCGGTTGCCCCTCTTCTAGGCCAGCTCTCCGCTGTGGCCAGGGAGTGCAGTGGAGGATGGCCCAAGTGCTTGGGCCCTGCACCCCATGGGAGACAAGGAAAAGCACCTGACTCCTGGCTTTGGATCAGTGCGATGCGCCGGCCGCAGTGTGCCGGCCGTGGCGGCTGCAGCGGCCATTGGAGGGTGAACCAACGGCAAAAGGAAGACCTTTCTCTCTGTCTCTCTCTTTCACTGTCCACTCTGCCTGTCAAAAATTTAAAAAAAAAAAAAAAAAAAAGCCAGGAAGAAAGTGCATCCGGGTCTCCCACATGAGTGGCAGAGACCCAAGTACTTGGGCCATCTTCCATTACCTCTCCGGGTGCATTAGCAGGGAGCTGGATCGGAAGCAGAGTAGTCAAAACTCAAACCCACAATCTCATATGGGATGCTGGCATTGCCAGCAGCAGCTTAAGCTTAGCAGCTGTGCCACAATGCTGGCTGCTATGCCGTCACGTGTGTGTGTGTTACACATATGTTACATATGCTGTTACATGTGTGCATGTATTGTGTGGATACATTCCCATGTCTCCCCACCCGCATGCCCTGGGTACATGGGCTCCCATGAAGACAATAACCAGTGGTTTTCCAGTACTAGTTCTGGATACACAGTGACCCCCAGTGCTTTGTGCTTGGTGCCCCTCATGAATTGGAGGGTCAGTCCCTACCTTTGGCATATCCAGCAACAATTCTCAAGCCTGGCTCGGCTTCCTTGGTCCCACTTCAGACACCTGAGTTGGTATCCCTGAAGGGTGGGGCCCAGGCATCTCTTTTATGGTCCCCAGCTGATTCTAACAAGCAGCTGGGCTGGGAGCACGGGGCTCGAGTGAGTGGGCCAGGGCAAGACAAGATCTCATCTGCAACCTGGGTTATTCTCACGGCGCTAAGCTGGGAGTGAACCTGCCACAAGTGGAGGCCAGCCCGTTCTCTTTCATCACTGCCTTTTATGCCTGGTGAATTGGAACGGAGGCTGGGAAGCCTGCCAAGGCAGAACCAAAGACTGTCAGCCCTGAAAGGGACGTATGTGATCACTTAGTTCATCACCCTTTTTAACAGCTCACGCACTTTGAGTCATATTCATTCTACCTTTGAAATTTGGGGATTTCCGCTATTTCTGAGTCCAGGAATAAATTGAAATGTTCACTGGAGTTGCTCCCAAAGTGGAGTCCATTCATTTTTCTCAAAAAAAAAAAAAAAAAATCATGGCCTAGCAAACCCTGCAGTTATCTGCAGCGTTCCCTAGCTAGCAATGGCGAGACTCACACATCTTTCAAAACACCATCCCTGTAATTCAAAGCAAGTTATCAGAGGCCCTGGACTATTTGCACATTGGGTTATCAGGGTGCCTCACCATTGAAGAGGTAGAGAAATAGGGACACAGAGATAAGCACTCCCTGGACCCCCTCAGAAAATTGGGATCAAGGTTGAGAAATTGAACTTGGTCTCCTGACTCTGAAGCAGTCATTGTCTGGATCACACTGGGCTGCCTGCCGTTAGCCAAGAGTCTATTCTGCCTGCATGTTTTTTCACTTTAATAGGAAAGTCCAAAAAAAAATAGTTGAGTCTTTGTGGCTATCATGTAAGTCCCAGATAATCCTAACCACTGACAACACGGACCTATTAGACCCTTGCTATTCAAAGTGTGGCCATGCAATGGGGCTGGCGTTGTGGTGCAGTGGGTTAAGCCACTTCTCAGAATCCCACATCCCACACTGGAGTGCTGGTTTGAATCCCAGCTACTCTGCTTCTGATCCAGCTCCCTGCTGATGTACCTGAGAAAGCAGTGGATGATGGCCCAAGGGCTTGGGCCCCCACCACCCACATGGGAGAACAGGATGATGTTCCTAGCTCCTGGCTTTGGCTGGCCCAGTCCTGGCTATTGTGGCCATCTGGGGAGTGAACTTCCAGATGGAAGATCTCTCTTTCTCTCTCCCTCTATCGGTCTGCCTTTCACATAAATAAATTTTTAAAAATTTTAAAAAATATTTGCTTATGTGAAAGGCAGAGTGACAGTGAGAGAATAAGAAAGAGAGAGAGAGAGAGAGAGAGAGAGAGAGAGAATGAATCTCTCATCTACTGATTGACTCCCCAAATGGCCCCAATGACCAGGGCTGTGTCAGGCCAAAGCTAGGAGCCAAGGGACTTGGACCATCCTCCACTTCTTTCCCAGGTGCATTAGCAGGGAGCAGGATCAGAAGTGGAACAGCCAGGATTGGAACCAGCACCATATGGAATACCGGCACTGCAGTCTGTGGCCTAACCAGCTATGCCACAGCACCGGCCCCTAAATCTTTTTTTTTTAAAGGGTAACTATGGAGGCAAGCTCTGTAGTGCACTCAACTAAGCCCCGCTTGGGATACTTGCATCCCATATACCAGTGCCTGGGTCTGAGTCCTAACTCTACTGCCAAGCCAGCATTCCTGCTAATGTGCACCCCCAGGAGGTAGCAGATGATAACTCAGCTATCCGGGTCCATGCTATCCAGAGGGGATACCTGGATGGAGGTCCTGGTTCCTGACCTTGACCTGGCCCAGCCCTAACTGTTGTGGCCATTTGGGGAGTGAACCAGTAGATGGAACACCTCTCTCTCTCTCTCTCTCTCTCTCCCCTCCCCTTCAAATAAGTAAAAGTAAATGAATAAACTTCAAGTGCACCTGCAGCCAAGCACATGGGCACCACTTGGAAGCAGGTTAGAAGCACGGGATGGCCGGCCCCAGCCCTACTGACCCAGCATCTGTACTTCCCACGGTCTCAGCCTCTGAGGGAGTTGTGAGATCTTCCCACCTGGTGTGTGTGTGTGTGTGTGTGTGTGTGTGTGTGTGTTGGGGGCATGGGAGCTCAGAATATGCAGAAGTTGCTCTTGGGAAGGAAATGCATACCTACAAAACCACAGCCAACTTCCGGGCCTGTGCATCTCACCACAAGCCCATGGCAAAAGCAAAGCGGGATTCAGAGGGCCACGGCACGAACTCTGCCCCACAAAGCAGCTGTTTGTGGGCTCAGCAGATGTCCCGATTGCTGGTCACCTGTCTCAGTGCTTCTCCCAGTCACCTACTCATTCCCCACCATATCTCTAGGATGTGCCTGTGTAGAGTCCCCACAGCCATGGGAACACCTCGAGGGGACGAGAGACCCTGAACCAATCAGTTAATCAGACAGTGGCACTCACGGTGACCAGGCTTGTGTCCTCGCTGTTGGTGGCCTGGATTCTGAGGGTGTAGACTGGGACTGTTTCATGGTCTGCTTTAGTCACCAGCTGGAGTTCTCCTGTCTTGGGATTGATCCAAAATACATTCGGGTACTGGAGGCCAGCCCCTCCGCTGGAGATGGAGTACATGATGCTGCTCTTCGGGAAGTCTGGATCAGCCGCGTGCACCTGTCCAACCCGGGTCATAGCTGCCGGAATGAGTACCGGAGTGAGGCTGCTGTGTGGGGCTGAGTAGATGGCCCCACGGCCATGGAAGAAGGGTTTTTGGAGGCCTCCTTGCTATTCAAACTCTGTGTATTTTATGCCTGAATTCTAGTAAATTGAAATAATGCCAGCAAGCACCCCCCAGCAACCGGCTCTATCATCCATGCATGCAGCAGCATCATGAGCTGTAGAAGACAATTTGTGGCTTTATATGCACTCCAAGGACCCCCATTAGTTGGTATCATAAACACCATGCAAAGAACGCCCAATCCTTATACACACCTTTCTGCAGCACCGTTGTCTAAAAGTCTCTTGTATGCTTTGAATTTTCTATAATGAGCATGAATTGCTCTTATGAACCAGATGAAAAAAATTTCAGGAAATTTAGCAATTGATGGTTACAGAGTGTAGATTTTAAATACCATTCCATTTTGCCTATATCACAAATACTGTTGGTGGGACTGTTGGAGCTCTGGTTTGGCTTGTTTTCTGGAAGTTCTTTCTCATTAATTGCTCTCCTCAAGGGCAGAAGCACTTGCTCCTGTTCAGGTCTAGGCCCCAGCACTAAGTACATGACCCTGTAGTAAGACCTGTGAATTCCTAAATAGCTCATTCTTGTTGAACGTGTTATTTACTGGGGAAACCATCAGAGCTGAAAACAATTTTCTTTGGACCTTCTTTTTTTAAAAGAGATTTAAAAAAAAAAAAAAAAGATTTATTTACCCGAAAGGCAGAGTTCCAGATGGGGGGATGATGAGAGAGAGAGAGAAAGAAAAGGAATGAAGAGACGGATCTTCCGTCCTCTGGTTCAGTTTGCAAATGGCCACAATGGCCGGGACTGGATCAGGCCACAGCCAAGAACCTGGAACTCCATTCCGTTCTCCCATGTGGGTGACCGGAGCCCAACACTGGCGTCATCTACTGCTGCTTTCCCTGGCACAGCACAGTCCCTGGGCCTTGTTTTTGTGTTTAGCTTTTTTTGTTTTTGTTTTTGTTTTTTATTTAACAGGTAGAGGTAGACAGTGAGAGAGAGAGACAGAGAGAAAGGTCTTCCTTCTGTTGGTTCACCCCCCAAATGGCCGATCCGAAGCCAAGAGCCAGGTGCTTCCTCCTGGTCTCCCACACGGGTGCAGGAGCCCAAGCACGTGGGCCATCCTCCACTGTCTTCCCAGGCCACAGCAGAGAGCTGGACTGGAAGAGGAGCAGCTGGGACTAGAACCCGGTGCCCATATGGGATGCTGGTGCCGCAGGCGGAGGGTAACCAAGTGAGCCATGGCACCCGCCTGTGTTTAGTTTCAAAGTGTAATGTCAGGAAGAGGACACCATTTTAAAGAAAGAGAATAGGGACCGGTGTTGTGTAGTGGGTAAAGCCACTGCCTGGGACGCGAGCATCCTGGTGCCAGTTCATATCCCAGCTGCTCCACTTCCGATCAGCTCCCTGCTAATGCACCTGGGAAAGCAGTAAAGATGGCCTGAGTGCTTGGGCCCCTGCACTCACTTGGGAGACCTGGAGGAACCTCCTAGCTCCTGGCTTCAGCCTGGCCCAGCCCTGGGTGTTGTAGCCATTTGAGGAGTGAACTAGCAGATGGAAGATCTCCTCTCTCTCTCTCTCTCTCTCTCTCTCTCTCTCTTTCTCCTTCTGTCTCTGTAATTCTGCCTTTTAAATAAGTAAATCTTAAAAAAGAATAAAATGGAGAGTCATTGATTTGGTTTGGGGCTGTTTTTTTTTTTTTCTCTCCCATGGAAGATGCATCCATGATCCTCAAATGAAAAGCCATGCAAGAGTTTTGTCGACCAGACTGTCTTAGGGAGAGACCAGTCTCACCTCATAAGAGGGAGAGATGGGAGCAAATGAAGCCGGAGCGCTGAGGGCGCTAAGACCACGCAAGGGGCAGGAAATTCGAAGAGCAGATGGAGACAATGTCTTCATTTTGTTTTTCAGTGAAGAAGATATTTAGAAACAGGAAACCTCCTCTCCATGTTTAAATTCCAGTTTTCTGAGTGAGCGGGATAAAAATCTTGGTGGAGACCAAGAGGAAACACATGCTACAGAAATGGGGGATTAGCTGGACTGGAAGAGAACCAATGGAAAGGAAGGCCTTTCTCTCTGTCTCTTTCTCTCTCACTGTCTAACTCTGCCTGTCCAAAAAAAAAAAAAAAAAGGAAAGAAAAGAAAAGAAATGGGGGATTAGCAGAGTAGGGTGAGCTGACAAAGGCAGCAGTCAGGGGGTTCAAACGCAGTTTTATCAACAGCTTCCAAAATCCAAGTTCAGCTTGCAGGGTTTCTCAGCAGCAAGGAGGATTAAAAAAAAAAAAAAGGCACCAAGCACACATGTCTTCCATGAACTGCAGAGCCGGCCGCCCGCCCCCGGAGCGCATGCGCTGTCTTGTCTCCCAGTTACCTGGTCTGTTTTCTGACACATTAAATATGTAGAATGGCTTATCAAACACCAGAGGAAACTCATTTTCTGGCCTTGTTACGATGTAAAGGTAGATGTCATCTAAAAACAGAAAAAGGAAAAAATTTTAAATCACACTCCTTATTCATTTCCTCAACATTTTTAAAATATTTATTTATTTATTTATTTGAAAGGCAGAGTGGTAGAGAGAAAGAGATCTTCCATCTGCTGCTTCACTCCCCTAAATGGCTGTAATGGCCAGAGGTGGTCCAAGTTTGAAGCCAGAAACCGGAAACTCCATCCGGGTCTCCGCATGGGTGACAGGAGCCAAAGCACTTGGGCAGCCTTCTGCTGCTTTCCTAGGTTAGCAGGGAGCTGGGTTGGAAGTTGAGGATCTGGAACTCGAACCGGTGCTCAGGTACGAGATGCTGGCATCGCAAGCCGTGGTTTAGCCCACTGGGCTACAGTGAGGGCCCCTCTTTAAGGTTTTAAAACAGCCGCAGCTCAATAGGCTAATCCTCTGCCTTGCGGCGCCGGCACACCAGGTTCTAGTCCCGGTCGGGGCGCCGGATTCTGTCCTGGTTGTCCCTCTTCCAGGCCAGCTCTCTGCTGTGGCCCAGGAGTGCAGTGGAGGATGGCCCAAGTGCTTGGGCCCTGCACCCCATGGGAGACCAGGAGAAGCACCTGGCTCCTGCCTTCGGATCAGCGCGGTGCGCCGGCCGCAGCGGCCATTGGAGGGTGAACCAACGGCAAAGGAAGACCTTTCTCTCTGTCTCTCTCTCTCACTGTCCACTCTGCCTGTCAAAATAAATAAATAAATAAAACAGTTTCTGCGTGCGGGCTTCATTACAGGGGCTCCTCTGATAAACACACGTGCAGGTCACTACGGCAGAACCTAGAGGCTGGCAAACCCAGCAAGGGCAGAGTTAGACAAACTGGATGGGTAAAATGGGGAGGGGCCTGGATGGGGGGCGGTTCGAGGCATATGCAAAGATGCCAAGGTGTAAGCCTGCATAAATCGTTCAGGAAAGCTGCAAGTTCTTTGGCCTCATTGGGAAGGAGGAGGCGGTGCCTTGGAAGGGAGTAAGTGAGCTCAAGCTAGACTGTTAAGCACAGGCCAGAGCATCAAATCCCCGTATGCTAAGCCAAAGAGTTTGAACTTGAATTGACAGCCACAGGACGCACTCAAGGGTGTTAGCCAAGGAAGTTATATGAAGGTGTTAGTCACTGGCAAAAATGTGGGCGATGCATTTATGTAGAGGTACAAAACTGAAAGAGAGACCTTTAAAAGACTTAATTGTCATTCAGCCAAGGAAGTGGAGGGCCCTGGGATGGAGGCTTGGCATAGTGGTTGAGCTACGCATTCTGTCTCATAGTGCTTGGGTTCAACTTCCAGCACCACTCCTGCTGCCAGTTTCCTGCTAGTGCACTACCCCGGGAGGCAGCAGGTGATGGCTCAAGTACTTGGACTCCTGCCGCCTATGTGGGAAACTGGGATTGAGTTTCTGGCTTTTGGCTCAGTCTGGCCCAGCCCCAGCTGTGGTGGGTATTTGGGTTGTGAACCAATAGATGGAAGATCTCTTACTCTGTCTCCCTGAATTTTCAGTAAAAATAAATTAATTAAAAAAATTTTTTAAACAGAGGTCCCATACCGAGAGCCTTACTAGAGGGAAGAGGAGCTACAGCACAACACCTTGGGGTGCCTGGCACAGCTTAGTCATTGCTACCGAGGAAAGGTGCCCAATGAAAGACATCAAAGTGATGCTTGTGGGGCAGGTTTTAAGATGCCCGTGTCCCCTGTCAGAGCGTCTGGGTTCCACACCCAGCTCTGGCTTCCTGCTAGTTGCAGACCTGGGAGGCAGAGGTGAGGGCCCAAGTAGCTGAGTCCCTGCTCCCCACATAGAAGACCTGGATAGCTTTGGCCCAGCCCAGCCTTGCCACTGTAGGCATCTGGGGAGTGACCAGCAGACGGAAGCACTCTCTCTTCTCTCTCTCTCTTCTCTCTCTCTCTCTACTTCTCCAATTACAACATAAATATAGAAAGTAAATAAAAGCTGCTACTTGCTTTTATAGTAAGGAGGGGCGATGTCCTGCACCTGGATCATCACTGTGTATTCATTGCCGGCTGCCAGATTACTTGGATTTTCATAATCTAGATCACCAGTCAACTAGATCAAAACAGAGATCTTGGATTACACAGAATCCACAATGCTATTTATTGCGTTGGCAGACATTTACCTTTGCTGCTTGTGGTTATGTAAATTGGCACAATCCTCTGGAAAGCATTTCAGCCCCGTATAGGAGGAGCTTTAAAAAGCCAGGATCGTACCTCTGCACGCTTGCCAGAGAACTTAACTCAAATGAACTCACCAGGAGAGAGAACCTATGAACAGAGATGCTCACCAAGCACTATCGCCCAGCAGCACAGGGTCACGACTCCAGAGCCGTTGAAGAAAAACCCAATGGATCCTGCATGCTATTTAAAATACTGGAGCAGAGCCCGTGTTGTGGTGCAGTGGGTCAAGCCACCGCTTGCAAGGCCAGGAACCCATCCTGGAGCACCAGTTCGAGTCCCAGCTGCTCCGCTTTTCCAGGCTAATTCACCTGAAGTCAGCGGAAGACGGCCCAAGTACCTGGTTCCCTGCCTCCCACGTGAGGGACCAGGATGGCGTTCCTGGCTCTTGGCTCTTGACCTGGATACTGCGGCCATTTGGGAGGAGTGAATCAGCAGATGGAAAACCTCTCTCTTCCTTTCACATGTATCTTTAAAACAATACTTAAGTATATATGCACAAAATCTACATAAGGTATATGCATAGGAAACAAGACAAGTGGTTTTCACCGATGGGTGATGTTTCCCGTGCTTTCTGAATCTCCAAAACTGAACGAGTATGAATTTCCTAGACAGAAAAACTTGGAAATTCTTTTGTAGGTGGACACTAGGAGTCCAGCTGCTGAGACATTCTTGGGGCTCAGGAGAAGGAGGTGGGGAGAGGGGAGGGGGAGCCGGCTGCTCACAATTGCTCACAAGTAGTCATTGCTACCGAGGGAAGGTGCCCAATGAAAGACATCAAAGTGATGCTTGTGGGGCAGGTTTTAAGATGCCCGTGTCCCCTGTCAGAGCGTCTGGGTTCCACACCCAGCTCTGGCTTCCTGCTAGTTGTAGACCTGTAGAGACCCTACCCCCCTTTCCTGACTTCCAGGCCTTATTCTCCTTTCTCCCCACCTTCCTGTAAATCCAGGACTTCTATGGCTCTTTGAGACCCACTTCCTCTCCTCTCCCTCTTCCAACAGGGGGAGGGGGAGCGGGAGAAGGAGGAGGAGGAGATCCACCCCTTCTCCCCTCCTCCCAGGCCAGCAGTTGGCCCTGTGGAGTTGCTGTGGAAGGGGCTACTTACCCACCCTCTGCGTCTCATTTTCCCAGGAGTCCCTCGCGGTTTGACCATGCAGAATTGTTCAAGAGACACTCATGGCCCCAGCCCTGCCTCCTCTCCCTCCCACCCACCACGGGCCCGGGAATGAGCGGGCCAATAAACAAAAGGGCTTGCCCACGGAGGGCACCGGGGAGTCTGGAAGGGCTCACTCAGCAGGCGCACGCTGTGAGCTGTGCAGGAAAAGAATCCAGCCCCTCGCCCCCAGCACCCCAGGCACAGCTGCGCGGCTCCCGGGAAACCGGGTAAAATAAAAAGCGAACGAGCAGCCGGAGTCACCGCGAAGCTTGTCGGTTACAGCCACTCCGAGAGGGGGTTATCGTGGACATTGCTCTCTGCGGGGCAGCCAAGGCATTATGCATGCTGGACCGGCTTCCCCGATGCCCCTTTAATGATGCAATGACCATGAACTGACCACAATTTTTCCAGAGCCAGCTGGCTCCTGTGAAAACCGGCCGCTGCTGCCCACTCCAGATGGCGTGCTGAAGTTGAATTTGTTGTTCGGGGCTTCGCCGTCCTCATCAAAGCAGAACGGGTTCAGGTCCAGGAGCAACGTGCCGTTGGCCGCTCTTTCAGGCACGAGAACGCTGCCGGGGAGACCCGATTCAGTATCTTCCCCCAGTAAGGGCCAATCCAGTGCTCCTCCCCGGGGCCCCAGGCAAGACACCACCACTTCAATTCCAATTCCAAGTCACCTCTTCACTGGTCTCCCTGCTTCTGCCCTGGGCGCCTGGCGGACTATTTTTAACACAGCTGCCAGAGGATGCCTGTTCCAATGTTGTCAGTCTCTCCTGTGCCCCGAAGTCCCCCCACTTCCCTCTACGGCTCCTCATTCCCCCTCGAAGTCCCAGCTGGGATCTGTAGGACCCCTCAAGCTGTGCCACCCCCATCAGCTCTCAGAAGCAACTCCTACTAACTTCTCCTGGGCCACTCACCCCTCACCAGCCTGGGCTCACGGGTCACAGCGCTCACTCACCGGGAAGCTCCTCCCACAAAGACCTTAGGGCCTTATTTCCCCATTTCTTAGTCTTTAATCCAGGGCCCCATTTGTAGTAAGACCCCTGTAGAACCCCTCAGCCAACCACCTCTCCTGTGCCCTCCTTTATTATTACATTTTTGCTAGAGCCTTTGTATTTAAAAATTTTTTTTCATTTCTTTATTTGAAAGGTAGAGGGAAAGAAAGAGAAGGAGAGACAGAGAGAGAGACATATTTCATCCACTGGTTCACTCCCCAAATAGATGCAATGCTGGGGCTGTGGCTGTGGCTGGGCCAAGCCAAAGCCAGGAGCCAAGAACTCCATCCTGGTCTCCCACATGGATGGCAGGGGCCCAAGCACTTGGACCATCTTCCTCTACTTTCCCAGGCACATTAGCAGGGAGCTGGATGGGAAGTGGAGCAGTCGGGACTCGAACTGGCGCTCCAGTGTAGAATGCATGTAGCCCAGGCAGCTTAACTCCGCTGTGCCACAATGCCAGCCACTCCCTCCTTTGTTTTAAATTCTTAGCATTTATCATTACCTAATACACTGCACATATGTTTACTTATTTATCCTGTTTGCTATCTATGTCCCCCTACAATGTAAGCTCCACGAGGGCAGGGATCTTTGCTTACTTTGTCCTTGGCACGCTCAATGATATTTGTTGATTGAATGAATGATAGTATATGAGACCAGTGCAGTAGTAAACAAGAATATAAAAGAAATAAAAATCTGCCCCCCTGTAATCTAGCTAGGGAAAATCCCTGTACTACTCCTCTCTCGCTCTCTGAACACCAGGAATTTCTCAGTTTTTATTCTAGCGACTCCAGTGTCATAGAAGGTGTCATTCATTCAAAAGAGGTTGTTCAGAGTCAGAGGTGGTGTCCCATCTCAGTTGACCCCAGGCACATGTGTCTCGCCACTTCCCCCTCCCCCAGCTCTGGGCCTCTGGCAGGGCCCAGCTTGATGTGGGAGAGTCCAAGGAAGACTGAGTGACCCCTGTGGACTTGAACTCATTGAGGACCTTTATCATGTCTTCGTAAAATGGGCATAAATCATGTCAGCTAGCTTTTGCTGCATCACACAACCAGCCCAGCAAGCATTGTTATGCCTCAGAATATTATGGGCTGTTTGGAAGTTGTTTTGGTTCTAGGTGGGCTTGGCTGGTCTCTGAGGTTGTTGGTAGCTCAGCAGGGGGCTGGAGGGTCTAGGCTGGCCTCGCTCACACAGCTGAGAAGGTGGCTGGTCTCAGCTGCTTCTTGTTTCTCTCCTTGCAGGAGCCTCGTCCAGGCTGTTGGCATGGAAACCCCAGGGTTCAGGCACAAGCACTTTGCAAAGTCTGGGTTGTCCTGCTCTGTGAATGCTGCAGTGGTCAGGCCCTGTTTCAGGGACTAGAGGCAGAGACGAGTCTCTAGATGGGCAGGATGGCAAAGGCACACGGCAAAGGTGGCATGCGTGCAGGGAGGGAGGAATTTGTGGCTGGCTTCTCTTTGTTTAATTGGTTTTGTTACTGTGTGATTTTGTGCTTCTTGGCTACCTATCTTAATCATATTTTGTCTTGGCAGAATTTTTTAAAAAAGACTTATTTTGTTTATTTGAAAGGAAGAGTTGGCCGGCGCCGCGGCTCACTAGGCTAATCCTCCACCTTGCGGCGCCGGCACACCGGGTTCTAGTCCCGGTTGGGAGCCGGATTCTGTCCTGGTTGCCCCTCTTCCAGGCCAGCTCTCTGCTGTGGCCAGGGAGTGCAGTGGAGGATGGCCCAAGTGCTTGGGCCCTGCACCCCATGGGAGACCAGGAGAAGCACCTGGCTCCTGCCATCTGATCAGCGCGGTGCGCCAGCCACAGCACGCTGACCGTGGTGGCCATTGGAGGGTGAACCAACGGCAAAGGAAGACCTTTCTCTCTCTCTCTCTCTCTTTCTCACTGTCCACACTGCCTGTCAAAATAAATAAATAAATAAATAAATAAATAAGAAAGGAAGAGTGATGGGGCAGGGAAAGAGAGGGAGAAAAGAGAGAGATATCTTCCATCTGCTGGTTCGCTCCCCAGATGGCTTCAACAGCCAGGACTGATGTCAGGAGCCTGGAACTCCATCTAGGTCTCCCATGTGTGTGGCAGGGGCCCAAGCACTCAGGCCATCTGCTGCTGCTTTTCCAGCTGCATTAGCAGGGAGTTGGGTGGGAAGCAGAGCATCCAGGACTTGAACTGGACCCCTTATGGGATGCTGGCGTCCTAGGTGGCAGCTTGACCCACTGTGCCACACACTGGCCCCTCAGCAGAATTTTTATTTATTTATTTATTTATTTATTTATTTATTTATTTATTTTGACAGGCAGAGTGGACAGCGAGAGAGAGAGAGAGAGAGAGAGAGAGAGAGAGAAAGGTCTTCCTTTGCCGTTGGTTCACCCTCCAATGACCGCTGCAGCCGGCACGCTTCAGCCACCAGCACATCACGCTGATGCGAAGCCAGGAGCCAGGTGCTTCTCCTGGTCTCCCATGGGGTGCAGGGCCCAAGCACTTGGGCCATCCTCCACTGCACTCCCTGGCCACAGCAGAGAGCTGGCCTGGAAGAGGGGCAACCGGGACAGAATCCAGCGCCCCGACCAGGACTAGAACCCGGTGTGCCAGCGCTGCAGGCAGAGGATTAGCCTAGTGAGCCGCGGCGCCGGCGGCAGAATTTCTTACAAAACTACCTGATGGCTGCCCTGGGAAGGTGCCTGGAAGCCCTGCAGCCCCAGCATCACCATGTTGGTCGTGAGGCCCTGGACCAATGAGTGGGTGTGGCAGAGACACCAGGACGGCTCGCTCCAGTCCTGTAACAGCCGGCTTGGACTCCCGATGCCTGGCTGAATGTTCCCCCATGATCAAGAACATTTCCAGCCGCCTTCTCTCCTTCCCTTCCCGCAGGTCAGGCTTGCATCAGGGTCTGAGGACTTGCCCAGCCTTGTCCAGCTCTCTCTGCATTCCCTCCCACATGCACTTCCCCTCCTAAAAGCCTTGCACATTAACTCCTGCCTCAGTACCTGGTTCTTGGAGCACTCACACTGACATGTGCTGAGTTCTCTTGAATCCTCTTCACTTTTCACTGCAACCAAATTACGCTCCCTTCAACATGGCTCAGCTTTTCTTAACAGCAGCTCAGATGGGCTCTGGACCCAGTAAATACGGAGCTGGTGTTGTGGTGCAGCAGGTAAAACCTGTGTCACCAGCATCCCTTAACAGAGTGCTGGTTCGAGTCCCGGCTGCTCCACTTGCAATCCAGCTCCCTGCTAATGCATCTGGGAAAACAGCAGAAGATGGCCCAAGTGCTTGGGCCCCTGCCACCCACATGGGAGACCCGGATGGAGTTCCTGGCTCCTGGCTTTGGCTTGGCCCAGCCCCAGCCATTGCAGCCATTTGGGGAGTGAACCAGTGGATGGAAGATCTCTTTCTCTCTTTGTCTCTCCCTTTCTCCTTCTGTCGCTCAGCCTTTCAAATATGTAATTAAGTATTAAAAAAAAAAAAGACACGCCAGTCTGACTGCAAGGATGGTGTTGGGCTGCTGAGGATAAGCAGGTCTGCTCGCTGGAGAAAACGCAGGTGTCGCTGAGTCTCTCAAAGCCTCCTTGGCCGGGACCACCTGTGCGTTTCAGCAGACTTGGAGCCAGAGCGTTATTCCTGCCATGATGGCACAGTGTCTTGGTTTTATTCATAAGTACCTAAAATAGATACCAGTCACTGAGCACCAACTACAGGCTGTGGTACACCAAGCACTTTAAAAAACACTTGCTGCCCACCCCCCCTCCCGCCACCGGCAGGCTTCTGCACTAGGGAACCAGCCTTTTGGAGAGATTTCAAGGCTCCGACCTGAAGGTGAGGCCTGCAGACAGGATTCCCTATTGTCTGCCTTACACTGCCGGCCATCTGGAAGCTCCTTCAACGAGCATCCCCCTGAGCCTTGACTGCAACTCCGCAGAAGCCAAGCCAGGACTCTGCACCATCCAGAGCCCCCAGGGCCCTCCAGCGGGGGCCTGCAGCCTGGGCCCCTCAGGGCTGGGGGCAAGTTCTTCCCTCCCTGACACTTGGTATTTCCCCCTCCGGCCGAATCGCGTGACTCGGAAAGCCACTCCTCCCCATCCATCAGTACACCGGGCCCTGGCTCCCAGCCCTGAGCCCGCGGAGCCGCCCCGTACCCAGGAGGCTGCGCCCAGCCACATTCAGAAAGGGCCGAGCTTCTCCGCCTCTTGCTCACCGACAGCTCGCTGGGCGCTTGCAGCCGAGCGCCTGACAGGTTACAACCCGAGCAGGGACTGGCGCGGAGCCTTTGATGCCTCCCTGGGGGCCCTGCGCTCCTTCCTCACCAGCCTGGCCAAAGCCACAGTGACTCAGGGCGGGCAGCAGGGGGCGCCCGCCTCCTCCAGGCCACCCCGGCCCTGCATTGCGCAGACACGTGGCCGCCAACTCCCTGCTCCAGGTGGGAGCGGCGCCCTTTCCACCCACTCCACTACCTGCTGTTGAAAACAGCACAGCAGGGACACCACGCCCAGGGACCCCGAAGCAGAGATCAGTGTTCAGGAGCGAGGCGTGTGTGGCTGCGGTTGGACGGGGGTCAGGCTGACAGGTCCCACCCCCACCTGCCCGTGCCAATGGGCGGTGGGGTGCACAGGCTGGGCCTCCTTGCACCTGGGCAGTCATGGGATGGCTAGGAGCTGGTCCCGCTGGGCAACACCGAGGAACAACTCAAGCGCTGCTTAGAATTATCTCCAGTAATAAACACAAGTAGGCAGTCCAGTTATGGACTTAGGTGTGGCCGGCAGGGCTGATTTGGAGAGACCATAGGAGCAGGACTCTGCAGGGACTTGTGCGGACAGGCCAGGACATTCCAATGTGATTTCATTACTAACCGGTGGCAGAGGCTAAAGCTGTCCCCCGAAACAGCAGAGACCCTGTAGGCCACATGAGAACATGCAATGACTGTATAGAGGCTGGCGTTCGACCCAGTGGTTAAGCCTCCATTTGAGAGGCCTGCATGAGTAGTGGGGTGCCTGGGTTCGAGTCCTGACTCTGTTCCAGGTTCCAGCTTCCTGCTAACGTGCACCCTGGGAGGCAGCAGGTGATGGCTCAAATATGTGGGTCCCTGCCACCCTCTGTGGGAGATTCAGGTGGAGTTCTGGGTCCTGGCTTTGGCCTGACCCAGCCCCAGATGTTGTGGGCAGTGAACCAGCAGATAGGAGCTCTCTGTCTCTGTCTGTCTGCCTTTGAGAGAGAGAGAGAGAGAATTAATTTTTAAAATAACATAACATGGGGTCGGTGCTGTGGCATAGTAGGCTATGCCTCAGCTTGCAGTACCAGCATCCTATATGCATTGCTGGTTCAAATCCAGGCTGCTCCTCTTCCAATCCAGCTCTCTGCTATGGCCTGGGAAAGCAGTATGGTCCAAGTAGTTCAGATAGTCCAAGTACTTCAGCCCCCATACCCACATGAGAGACCAGAGGAAGCTCCTGGCTCTTGGCTTCGGATTGGCTCAGCTCTGGCCATTGCAGCCATTTGGGGAGTGAACAAGCAGATGGAAGACCTTTCTCTCTCTCTCTCTCTCTCTGTGCCTGTAACACTGCATCTCAAATAAATAAAATCCTTTTAAAAAAAGAAAAAAACCCCATGACACACAACACAGTTGCATTAAAAGGAGGAAATGGGTAACGGCTAGAGACAGCCCAGTGCTCTCCATGCAGTGCTATCCAGCGTTCTTCCTCCCTCAACCCCACCCCCCAACTCTCAGGGTGGAGGGACAAGGAAGAGCAAGGAGAGCCCAGAAGGGCCAGGCTAGGGGAAGGGAATTTCCCAGGATAATTTCCCAGGATGCACCGGAAACCCCTCCGGGGGGTGTTAGCATACATCTAGATTTCCAAATTTCTAAAAGAGAAGGAAGAGCCTGCAGACCATCCCCAGGGCCTCCTCCCGGAGGCTGAGCTCAGTTTTTCCCATGTGATGGTGTGGCGGTCACGCTCTTTGTTTTGCTTTATCTTTTTTTTTTGCAGGCAGAGTGGACAGTGAGAGAGAGAGACAGAGAGAAAGGTCTTCCTTTGCCGTTGGTTCACCCTCCAATGGCAGCTGCAGCCAGCGCACCGCACTGATCCGAAGGCAGGAGCCAGGTGCTTATCCTGGTCTCCCATGGGGTGCAGGGCTCAAGCACTTGGGCCAACCTCCACTGTACTCCCGGGCCACAGCAGAGAGCTGGCCTGGAAGAGGGCAACCAGGACAGAATCCAGTGCCCCGACCAGGACTAGAACCCGGTGTGCCGGCGCCGCTAGGTGGAGGATTAGCCTAGTGAGCCTCGGCGCCGGCTGTGGTCACGCTCTTAACTGTCCGTGGTCCCCATGCCCATCCATCCAAGAGGCTCTGAGGCCGGTATAGGAACCTATTACCTGATGAGGACTGTGACCGATTTTGTCATGTTCTCATGGTGGGTCGGGAGGACCCTGGATGGCCTTGGTAATGGGATTCTTGGAAAGGTGCACATAGGGCTATAGGCTAAGCCAGGAGATGCTGCCAACCTCAGGAGTGGAGCATCCTTACCGCCCCTGGACCCAGGGCAGCCTGTGGTGGGAGGAGCCCTTCCTGAAGCCGGCCCCCAGGACAGTGAGCGCTGTGTGCAGAGCTGCCATTCCAGGAGCTGAGACCTTCAGGAGGTGGCCACATGGATAAGTACCCAGCCCTCCTCCTCCCCTTCCTCCCCAGGCTTTGCATTCCCAGCCAGAAGCTGGAAGGCAAGGGAGCCATTAGCGCTCACACAGCTCAGCCTCGTGGGCACAGAGCAGGGGTGAACCCAGAACAGAGAAGAGTTGTGGTGTCCATCCTGCTGGGCAGGTGAGTGGAGAGCACAGGGAGACAGTTACGGCGTGGTCAAGAGCGTCATGTTTCCATTGCTGTTCCCACGCCGTCTTGGTCCTTGTCCTCTGCGTGGCCATGCTGTGTAAGGGATCTGTGTCAGACTTGCAACACCAGGTGAGGACAGGCTCACGAGACTGTCTGCAAGAGACCCTCTCTGATCTTAGCTGGCCCCAACTTGCAGGTTAGTCTCTGGGCCAGGCCCCGCCCCCTCCAGAGCCGCCCCCAGCTGCCCCAGAATGCAGGGTCTATGAGACCACAGAGATGAAGCTAACCCAAGGAGTGGCTGATGTTGAGGCCTTTGGACAAAACAGTTAGCAGGAAGGTTCTACCTTTTCAAGAAGGCATTTGTTAATTCAGAATCACGAGGGATTTTGTTCTTAAATAACTAAATAGACTGTGAAACGACCAAAAAAAAATCAAAATATACAAAATAAGCCAGACTCCACTCGTGTCTGTGTTTTCCTCCTTTTGGTTGCCTTTTGCTTTTGCCCAGCTTTGTGGAAGGTGAGTTGGAGGCTTTGCTGGGTTGGATGTGCATCCTGGGTTTGGTTTATTCCTGTTACTGGTGGTTGGTATCTCAGGGAGTTCTGAGTTACTCACCCTAAGTCTCCAGCATCTATTACAACTGCTAACTAACAGCACCATCTCACCACCTAAAGACAAGGCACAGTCCAGAGAGAGCCCAACAAGTCCCCATGGCACTTTCCAGAACCAGAGATGAAGGCGTTGGAGGTGGGAACAGAATGAAAAAACATTCTTAACAGAGTTTGCAAGTGGCGAGGGGAAAGAACGAAGAGGAAAGAACACGAAGGAGAGGGAAGGACAAAGGGTGACGACTTGCAAGCCTAAGAACAAAAGTGGGTAGTTCCAATCCACTTTCAGCAGCAAGCCTTCCCCAACACTTACTAGTCCTTCCGTCCCCACCGCATCCCCCCCCCCCCCCGCCAAGAATATGCCAGAGAAGCCGAGGCCAAAGTGCACACGCCAGTCCCGACGTGTGGGTACCTGAAGGTGAGCTTGGTGCAAGTGGCGGGGTTGTCATTGATGTCCTCCACGAGGAAGGTTATGAGCGCGCGGTTCTCCTGCCCCCCTGCAGGGCGGTCCCTCACCAGGACTTCCAGGGAGATGGTGGCCTTTTGTCGTAATTCACCTGCATCGCGGTCTATCCTCTGGGCCACTTGGATCGTGCCCGTCCCTAAGAGGCAAGGTTGAGAATGTGGTCCTTCCAAGGGAAACGGATGGGGCCAGCCTTGTGGTGCAGTGAGTTAAGCCGCTGCTTGCCACACTAGTATCCTGCATCAGAACGCTGGTTCAAGTCCTGGCTGCTCCACTTCCAATCCAGCTCCCTGCTCAAGAACTTGGATCCCTGCCTCCCACATAGGAGACCTGGATGGAATTCCTGGCTCCTGGCTTTTGCCTGGCCCTAGACCTGGCTGTTGTGGCCATTTGGGGAGTGAGCCAGCAGGTGGAAGATATCTCTCACTCTCTGTCTCTCCCTCTGTCACTCTGCCTTTCAAATAAATAAACAAATAGATATATAGATAAATATTTTTTTAAAAAAGAAGAGAAAAATATATGGAAACTTGGAGGAAATGGCAAAAGACCATTCTAATATGAGAACTGGCTCATGAAGAACATATCCCCCCTCCCTTTTTTTTTAAGATTTATTTATTTTGAAAGTCAGAGAGAGAGAGAGAGAGCTGGAAAGAGAGGTTCACTCCCTAGATGGCCACAACAGCCAGGGCTGGGCTAGGCCAAAGTCAGGAGCTTCATATGGGTCTCCCACATGGGAGTGGGTGGAGGCCCAAACACTTGGATCATCTTCTGCTGCTTTTCCCAGGCCACTAGCAGGGAGCTGGATTAGTAAGTGGAGCAGCTGGGACACGAACCGGCACCCAGAAGGGATGCCAGAGTTGTAGGTGGGGCCTTACCCACCATACCACAATGCTGGCCCCTAAACCCCAAAGTCTTCCTTTAACAGCAAAGCAGGTCATGCTGATGGCGGTAGATTCGGGTGGAGATTTGACCTAGTGGTGGCAGCCGGGGCCCTTTGGTTGGCTGTGGGCGCACCCCCGGAAGGCAGCTAGGATAGAAGCCAAGCATGCTTCCTGTGTCTCTGCGTCCTGGCTCACCATGCAGCTGTTCTGCCATCGAGGGCGTCCGGGAGAAGGGAGACTAACACAGCTGCCGACCTTGAACTCTGACGCTCCCGACTGTGGGCCCAAACACTGACTCCTTCCCAAGAAGCACATCTCAGATGTTTTAGTTACAGTGACAGCAAGCTGACTAATAAGGAGAGTTTGTAACCACGAGACACACGCCGAGAAGCTGTCAGAGTAACAGAGAAGCTGCAGGTTAAAGGGCAGGACTCGAGTGGCTCAGTGCTGCTGGTGCCCGCCCTTCGTACGTACATCGCCATCATTTGACTCTTTCTTGTGAGATACCCTATGTCCCGTTGATAGATGTCCTTATCTCTTCTTCCCTCTTGATTAATTCGGTCTGCCTTATTTATTTTTTTTTAAATATTTGTTTATTTAAAAAGCAGAGTTATAGACAGAAAAGGAGAGATCTTCCATCTGTTGGTTTGTTCCCCAAATGGCTGAAATGGCCACAGCTGAGCCATAGCTCCTTGCAGATCTCCCATGTGGGTGGCAGGGGCCCGGGGACTTGGGCTATCGTCTGATGCTTTCCCAGGCACATTAGCAGGGAGCTGGATCAGAAGTGGAGCAGCCAGGACAGACAGTGGCAACCACATCCTTATCCCAGAAGACACAGAGACATCGCAGGTGGCTGCTTAACCCTCCATAATGCTGGCCCTGGTCTGTCTTAATTTCTATAACTTGCAACCCAGAGTCTTACTAAATATTCTCCCCTCTCCAACCCACTGTCCCTGTTAAAATCCAGCTGGGCAACACTAGAGCAAACAGAATTCTCCATCATGGCTGTCCCTCAGCCGAACGACGGATGTGAGGGCAGAGCACTGGGATGTTTTCAGAGGGAGGGTGTGACTGCCTGTCCCCACCACAGCCACTCTGACCTTAAAGCACGTAAGGCATGGGGCTGGCGCCACGGTTCAGTGGGTTAATCCTCTGCCTGCGGTGCCCGCATCCCATATGGGCACCAGTCCTGGCTGCCCCTCTTCCAGTCCAGCTCTCTGCTGTGGCCCGGGAAGGCAGTGGAGGATGGCCCAAGTGCTTAGGCCCCTGCACCTGCATGGGAGACTGGGAAGAAGCTCCTGACTCCTGGCTTCGGATCGGCGCAGCTCTGGCTGTTGCGGCCATTTGGGGAGTGAACCAACAGAAGGAAGACCTTTGTCTCTCCCTCTCACTGTCTGTGGCTCTACTTCTCAGATAAATAAAATCTTAAAAAAAAAAAAAAAAAAAAGGCATGTACGGCCAATGGCGTCTTGTCTTTCTGGCACTGTCCCAAGCAGGTCTCCACCACATCACCACGTGAAGAAATGATTCCCGTGATGCGATCAGGATTGCAGAGGTGGTGCAGCCTCACAACGGTTAGGAGTGCAGGCTCTGGGGCCGGGGCTCAGGGTGGTGTCTCCTGTTCACCATGTACCGTCACTCAGCCCAGCCAAGTCACTCCCTGAAGTTTTTGTCACCTGTGGACCATGATGGCTCATTGGGTTGTATTTAGTAATTGAGATGCTGAGAGCCCTGGAAGGAGTGGAGCAGAGAGCGGCCTCCTTCTCCATGCTGAGATGCTCTGGTAGGAAAATAACTCCTCACAACCTAGCAGATTCACGGAGGCCAACACTGTCCGAACTCCCCTGGCCACGTGTGCCGCGTGGCGTCTGAAATGGGGGCGGGTCCAAGCTGAGATGCTCCATAGGCAGAAAATACATGGCAGGTGTTGTGGCATAGTGGATTAGGCCACAGCTAGCGACACCCACTTCTCATCTCAGGGTGCCTGTCCCACCTCCACCCCCTATCCAGCTCCCACTAATGTGCATGGGAGGCAGAAAATGACGGCCCAAGTAATTGGGCCCCTGCAACTCATGTAGGAGACCCTGATGGAGTTTCAGTGCCTGGCTTCAGCCTGGCCCAGCCCCAGCTTTTGTGGGCATTTGGGGAGTGAACCAGCTTATGGAAGATCTCTCTCTTTGTCTCTTGCTCTCTGCCTTTCCCTCTTTCTTTCGCTCTTTGCCCTGTTACTCTGCCTTCCAAATAAATAAACCGTTTTTTTTTTAAATAAAGAAAATGCACATCACATTTTTAAGGCTTGGTAATAAACAAAATCATGTAAAATACCTCATAAATAAATATCGAATGCAGATCAACATAGTACCATTTTGGATTTACTGAGTTAAATCAAATAACTTGTTAAATTAATGTCATCTATTTCTTTTACTTGTTTATTTTAATGTGTGGCTACAAGGGATTTTGAAATTCCATATCTGGCTCCATTCTGTGTCAGCATGGTGTGGAGTGTCTTCAGCCAACTGTCTAGTGCCCTCAGCACAGGTAACCCAGCCGTCCTCACGGACCCGCCCTCCTCAAAGACGATGGGGTTCAGGACGTGCTACCCCAAGGTGTGGCACCTTGGCACGTGGGAAACCCCAGGAAAGTCTCTGGACCCTCTCCTGCCCTTTTCCCCTGAAGCAGGCCTTCGAAGGCCCCCTAGCTTTCCTCTGAACTGGCCACAAGGCCTTCATGCCCAAGGTACCCTATACCCAGAATAAGGGAGCAGCTTTATCCCAGAAGACACAGAGGGGCCAAGGAGAATCTGAGCAGACAGGCCTTGGCCAGCTCCCCCCTTTGTCCTCCATGCACACTTCACGACCACTCACTTCTGCATCAGCTTGAAGCAAAAATCTGGCCAGGCATCTGATGGAGCGGTTAAGATGCCACCTGGGTGCCTGCACCTGAGTTTGGGCCTCACTAGACTCCCAGTTACACCTTCCTGCTAATGTACACCCCGGGAGGCTGCAGGGGGCAGCTCCAGGATTTGGGTACGTGGGAGATCCAGACTGAATTCCTGGTTCCCAAGGCTTTTGGGGGAATTTGGGGAGTGAACCAGTGGATGGGAGATGGGATGCATTCTCTCTCCCCCCAAAATAAGATAAATAATTTTAGAAATACATAAGCATACACATTTTCCCTGTTTTTTTAAAAGGGAGGGGGGAGGCGGGGGGACATCCCTTCTGAAAGCTCCATGTCACATAAAACTTACATTAAATGCATCTGTGTGCTTTTCTCTTGGTTAATCCATCTTTTGTTACAGGGACCTCAGCCATGAACCCAACACTGGGTGAGAGAAGAAATCTCTTGCTGCTCCAGCGGTGAAAGGTGACAGAGCTGTCAGCACCAACAGCCTCCCTGCCACCTGCTTTAATGCACCTCTGACCCCGGTAACTAGTGATGACCCTAGATCAGAAGATCAGACAGAGTAAAGCAGCCCACACGGCTGACATAGAGGGTGTGTGCGACTTACGCTGGTTTATCATAAAATAGCTGCTGGCCATGCTGATGCTGTACAGGAGGTGGCTGGGGACAGCTTTGTCATCAGGGTCCTCCGCGGTGACATTAGCCACGATGGTTCCTACGCTCAGCTCCTCTGGAATCCTGTATACTCGCGTAGGGCTAGGACAGAAATGTAGCAGACACAGCTCATTTTCAGGGGCACGGGAGAGTGGAGTCTGGGCGGTGGGTATTTTGGTGAGTGCTAAATATAGCGCTGAGCTGTTTAAGTTGCATCAACATGCTCCGAGGGAGAACAGAGCAGCTGAGAGGAAGGGCAACTGGCTTTTGTATTCGCCAAGATCACATCCCTGGGGACGCAGAGAAAGCACCACGCGGTTACTGCGACAATGGACAGAGACGCGGTCTCGGGCTCTGTGTGCACCTGCTGATGCCATTTCACATCGGTCTGTGCATTAACACCTTTTCAGACACGCATAGCTGGCTACCTGGCTGTTTTCTCTCCTCCTCGTCCTGATGTTTGTACAAATGTCCTCTGAATTCTTTTTTAAAAATCTCCCTGCAGGCTCCTTTGCTTGTTCCTGGCTCCCAACCTCCCTAGACACCAGAAAAATTGTAAGGCCTCTATGGTCTAGCACCATGGCTTACTTTGTATTTCTTCTTTGTTTTTATTGTCTTTCATTTTGGGGCCGGAGGACACAGAAATGTCCACACAGAACTCATGCACCTTTCCCAGTTGGTTAATCCTGAGGTCTGAACTGAGCAGCCAGCACCCCCCAGCGGAAGACAAGGTCAGGCACCGTGCTCCAAGGACGATGGGCAAAAACTCCAACTTACCTACCTCCCTCAGACCTCTGGAAAAGGCCAGTGATGAGGCAGAGAGGTGAGAAGCTTTGACAGCACCGTTTGGGTAAACTGAGTCATTGCGCATGAACTGAGGGAAGTTCCCTGCTTAGCTCCGCAGGAAGCCCTCTCGCTTGAGGGGGCCCTCATTTCCATGGGGGCACTCGGGCCTCTCTAGTTTCCCAGCTTCCTGAATTGGAATTTTTCTTGCATGGGCTCTCCTGGAGGAGAGAGGCCCTGGACATCAGCATCAGATAGACAGGACACTCATTTCGGGAGCTGGGAGTGTTTCTGTGGTTCGGTGGCACTGTTCCTGTAAGGCACGTGGAGCCAGAGGAAGGAGAAACAAAAGGGAACCCGGCCAGAGCCAGCAGCTGGCTGAGAAAGGCTGGAATCGGGCTCTCCCCGCAGGGCCTCCCCATCAGGCCTCCTCCCTGGATCCTAGGCTCCCCACCCCCATCTGGGTGCAGTGGGCTCCTATGGGGACCCTCAGTTACTGGGGGAGAGTTATCTTCTGCCCAAGGGGCCACTCCAGTGTTCTGGCCCTCCCTACCCAGCGTCCACTGAAGGCAGGCCGGGGGCTCCTTCTGCTTACCTGCCACGCCCTCTTCTCTGGGAGCCCGGGATGCTGCCCACCAGCCCAGTGGGGTCGGGAACAGGCAAAGTGGGTGGGGCCAAAGAGGCAGGGGTGGCAGGAACCAAACTGGAGCTGGGACGCAGCGGGAGGACGCCCCAGCTCCTGCAGCCGGCCGGGCCCTTCTGCCTGTTCTGTGACAGCTGCTGCTTGTCATGGCCGTTGTTTCTGCTTTGGTCACTGTGCCTGGGTTCTGTTAGCTTCCAATGAAGAGAACACAAAGACGCCTGTGCTGCCTACACAGCCCTGCCCTTGCTCTCAGGCTGCTCCCAGGACCAGCATCACCAAGGAAACTGCTAGAAATGCAGATCCCAGGCCCAGTGAATCTGGGTCTGCTCACAGGACACCCGGGGTTTCTGCAGCTACTTGAATGTCTGAGGAGGACTGGAAAGGCAGTGCCAGGGGTGACCCCCACAGGCTCCCCCAGCTCCATGAGGCAGAGGGAACAGCCCCACTCCCTCCCTCCTCCAGTGCAGCAGTTCTCAGCTGCAGGCGATTAAATCAGGATGCCCCATTGGCAAGGGGCACTGAAGGGCGGTGTCACGTCTTCACCCACTGCTCTTCTCTGTGCATCCACACCCAGCAGCTGGGCTGGGCACCGTCCTAACATGCAGAAGTCGTGGTTAGTTTGCAAAGTGGCACCAGGACAGCCTGCAGCAAGGGAGCTGGTATTGGCCCCTCGGGAGTAAAAGCCAGAGATGCCGCTAAGTGTCCCGCAGGGCCCAGGACACGGAAGCGCCTGGCTCAGCATGGCCCTGCTGCTGCTCTTTCCCTGCTGGCTGTGCCAGGAAAACAGGTTCCAGGATGGGGACTGTTCAGGCTCTTTGGTGAGGGCACAGCCCCTCTGGTTAGTCCTGAGATGCTGAGCCTGGCAGCGGGTAAAAATCTTTGGTCTGTTAGATTTGGGGACCCAAGGTCAGGGTCAGTGTGAAATATCACTCAGCATAAAGGTCTGGCCAGTGAGGATCCATTCCAAGCAGAGAGAATCAAGCTCTGACAGCAGCCACATGCCTGCATCCTTCTCCCCTAACCCCGGCACCAGACAGCCCGGGGAAGGGGCAGGTTGTCGCTCCCCCTCTTCGTGGAGGAACGACACAGGACCCTGCGCTGTTCTTTCGTCTGCTCGGCCCTCCCCGGGTTTGCTGCTGGTTCTTCCCGGGTTGGCTACTATCCCTTCCACCTCCGTGGAAGGGCAGTTCCCCCTGGCCACATTCCCCACTTCCGCAGGGGAGCGGCACACCGCCGGCCGGTTCTCTCGGGGGCTGCACGGGTTCCCTTAGATGTTCCCCATAGATGTTCCTGGTGCATGCCGTCTCTCTCCTCCTTTATAGTCCTCCTCCGCCAATCCTAACTCGGCTGCCCACACGCCGAGTACGCTGCTCTCCAATCAGGAGCAAGTCCTACAGTTTATTGGTTGAACTGGAGGCAGCTGGGTAGAAGCTGTTTTCTTCTCCCAGCGCCATATTGTAGGAGAGCAGATGCATAGAATAAGTCTTAATTCCAGTAACTTAGTCTAGTCCGAGCTGCTCCCCACAGCAGGTGAGGGCCACAGGCCATGCTCGTGGGAGAGGGTAGGTATTCCAGGTGACCATGAATGGCTTCATCATCAGGGCTGAGTATTCAGTAAGTGTCTGTTGTGTGCATGGCATGGGCAGGTGGGAAAGGACTGTGAATAAATGCAAAAGAAACAGAGAGACCCACCTGCCCAACTCCAAAATAAAGCGCCCTGCCGAGCAGGAGGGAGTCAGGTTTGTGTGTAACAAGGTGCCCTGCATTCCTATCACAGACTCCTGGGGGGCATGTAGTGGGCCCACAGTGCAGTGTAACATCTGTCACAGGCCAGGGTCAGATGGGGCGTGATTTCCAACAGCAGAGGTGGTGCCTGCTTGGTTGAGCTTACCACACTCACATGCGTAACCATTCGTAAAGGAGGAAGGGCTGTCTCCACATTTTAGGAGCCCGTTTCTGGGTCTCAAGCAAACTTAGTGACACTTGAGCCACTTGGAGGCTTGGTTTTGTTAACCCAGAATTAAGCAATTTATAGTGAGCACTAGGGGAAGGCGGCGGCGGTGGGGCAGGGTGGATGTCTGAAGTTCAAGAGCACCAGGACAGCCTGCGGAACCAGTGCCTCATTAGACACCACCTAAGTCCTTTCAAGTCCTGGATGGCTGATGGACAGGGGCTCACTCTGATGGCACAGCCTGGGCGAAATCAGAGCAGCCACCCTGCCCCAAATCCTCCTGTCTGCCACCTACCACGGAGCACTGTTTGAAATAAAGTCAAGGGCCCGACAAGGAAGGGAGACACGGTTCCCGCTCTCTGCCTGGGCATGGGACTGAACAGGCTCATCACGCAAACCAAAGTGAAAACCAGGGAGCTCCAGCCTGACCTCTGGGTTCCCCACCACCACCCCCAAATATGTCAGGGTCGTGTTCTCTCTTATCGAAGGTCAGTTCCTCTATTTTAGAAGATGTAGTCGAATCCAGATGGTTTACAAGATCTGCCCTGGGGAGAGCCGATTCTTTTTCTCCCTTTGCAAACCCATTAACCTGCTTTGCCACCCCACATGCAGGCTGAGCGGGGAGGACATGGAAGAATGCCTCAGCGCCAGCCCTACGGCCATCACCCTCCTCTAGGGGGTATCTGAAGGACCTGCGCAGCTGTGTGGGCCAACTCCTGCACCCTGGTCTGGGCTTCGATGCCTGGCCTGTACTCCCGGGTCACCTGTCAGCAGGACCCCCTGCACTCCCCTTTGACATAGCCTTTGGGGCAGTGGGCACCAATGAGCAGTGTCCCGTGGGAGTGGGTTTGCCGACACCCAGCATCCTCCCATCTCAGAGTATTTTTGCAAGCTTAGCTCACTGTTCTGATAGGCTTTTTACTTTTTGGATGACAAATAATAATCATATCCTAATGGCTTTCTGCTGGTCGGGCATCCCGTGCTGAGTTTACTCACTGCCGTGAGTGCAGTTAACTCCAGGAAGACGATTCTGCCATTTTCCTTGTGGCTGGCGGTTGTGTCCCTCTCGGGGATGGAGGCAGGCAGGGCTGCTGCAGTCAGAGAGCTGGGCTGTGTGGAGGGTCCTTGGCCAGCTCAGAGTCCCATCTTCCCCTCCGAACACCACCTGGGACAGGCTCAGGTCTCCCTTTTATGCCTGGGATGGATGAGGCTACCTAGACACACACACCCCCGCCCTCCCCTGCACCACCTGTCAGAGCTGCCCGTCACAGCCAGGTCTCCTTCTGCGGTAAGAACCTTGGGCACCCTGGCAGGGAGCAGGTGCCTTAGGCACCATTAGAACTCGCCTCTCAGGGCAGGCACCTTGAGAGGGGGGATCAGGAAGCCTTGAGGGATGGCAAGTACCCCAGGATTCTGCAGTCAAAAACATGGAGCACTTCATTATAAAAACATCTACATTGACCTTGGACATGGGCACAGTGGCTAGCAACACACCTGAAGCATTGTCTCTGCTGCTTTCCCCGCCACATCCACAGTCCCCACAGGGCGTGCGGGTGAATGTGGAGGCCCGGGAGGCGTGGGGAGCAAAGGTGGAAGAGAGAAGCCCAGATAAAAAGCCCTGGAGAGCTCGCTCTTCTCTCTCCTCCAGGCCGGGAGCCCTGTCCGCCCTCAGGCCTACCTGGTGAAGCGAGGGATCTCATCATTGATGTTCACGACATTCACCTGCAGCGCTGTGGAAGCTTTGAGGCCGCTGCTGTCCTTCACCTCCACAATGAGATGGAAACTGCCAGGGAAACGTTCCAAGGGAGAGGATCAGACTTGGCAGGTGCTACTTCCAGGGGGTGGAGGGTGGGGGAGGGGACAAATGGGGCAGGAGGAGTGAGGAAGTATCTGTCACCCTCCTGAGGGTCCCCCTCCTTAAGGCCCCTCCCATGGTCACACCTGCTCTGTCTCCTCTTCTCTCCCCTCCCCCTTCCCCAGTCTCACTCTGCAGGGGCTCACCACTTCCCCAGGCAGGCCCCTGCTCAGGCCAGCCAGGCTGCAAGCTCTGTCCTGTCCCATTCTGCAAAGCGGCTCTCACAGCCACACAGGGATACGAGGCTCCCAGGGCATCCGTACTCAGCCCTACTGCCCGTCCCCGGTGCAGAGCGCCGAGCCCCACCTGGTCGACCCCAAGGCCTGGAGTTTTGTATCCAGGCTGCTCTGGTGCTCACCGGCCCCTCTGATTCACTGCCTGTCTCTCCCCACAGCAGACAGGGCTCTGACCACCCTCCTGAGAAGAGGCAGGCTCTCCTGTCCATCACTCCTCATCTGGAGATTTGGGACAGGAACCAGGCCTTTCTGACAACTGCCGCCTCCCTCCCTGCTCCCCTCCAGGGCTCACTGCCCTCTGCACGGTGGCTGCTCCCTCACGAGCAGCCAGTCACAGTCTTGGCCTTAGAGGAACAGTCGTGCTAGGAAGGTCATGGGCAAGGCTACCTGCTATGTCCTGCTTCAAAGTCCAGTTCCGTGGTGGAGAAGAGGGTGCCATTGGCAGACATTCTGAAGCTCTTTGAGGGAGAAATCAGGAAATACTAAAACACAAAGGGGGAAGGAAGTCAGTCAGCTAACCAGCATGCCAGTACACCGTTCCCCAGAAATCGTGTCTGTTTAGTTTCCATTTCTATTCCTTGCAGGTGGAACATTTTTGAGGGGGTCCGGATGAGGTTCCAATGGACAGTTCTTAGATTTAGTGGCTCCAGGGCCAAGAAGCTTCTGGATTTACTGCCCTGAACATCTAATCCTGAGAAACAGGCCCTTGGGTCCTGCTTCAGTGTCAGGAAGCAGGCACAGGCTCCCGTCTGGGCAGGCTCTGCTTCTGGTGAGTCCAGGCTCCTCATCCCTGTTCTCACTTCTGCTTGCAGATGATGCTGGCTTCGAGTCTATGGCTTTAGTCAACACTGTTCAAACACACCTACCATCCATTAGTAGTTGGGCTATCGGAGAGTTCAGTAAGACCTGGTCTCTACCCTTGAAAGAACTTATGACAGGGGCCAGCACTGTGGTGCAGGGGGTTAAAGCTGCCGCTTGTGACAATGGCATCCCATGTTGGAGTGCCAGTTCTCATCCTGGCTGCTCCACTTCCGATCCAGCTTCCTGCTAATGCACCTGGGAAGGCAGCAGAAGATGGCCCAAGTGCTTGGGACTTTGCCACCCACATGGGACACTGAGATGGAGTTTCTGGCTCTTGGTTTTGGCTAGGCCCAACCTCTGCTGTTGCAACCATTTGGAGGGTGAACCAGAGGAATTGAAAATCTCTCTCCCACTCTCCCCACTCCATGACTCTACCTTTCAAATAAATACATAAATCTTAAAAAGAAGAATTTATGACACAGTGGGGTATAGAAATATGAACCAGCATCACTCATTGAAATGATGGGAGGGACAAGGGAAGAGATAATGAAATGCCACAGGGCCTGGAGTCTAGCTTGGAACTTGGATCAGGGATATGGGAGAGCTGTCACTGAATTTCATCCCAGGTATGTAGTCACTGGTCACGTGCTTCTCAGGTTTTCAGATAGTTGAAAGTCTTTTCATTCTTTTTTTGAATGGTTTATTTATTTACTTGAGAGGCAGAGTTATGACACAGAGAGGGAGAGACAGAGAGAGAAGTCTTCCACCCACTGGTTCACTCCCCAAATAGCTGCAATGGCTGGAGCAGATCCTATCTGAAGCCAGGAGCCAGGAGCTTCTTCTGGGTCTCCTACACAGGTGCAGAGGCCCAAGCACTTGGACCATCTTCCACTGCTTTCCCAGGCCACCAGCAGGAAGCTGGATCAGAAGAGGAGCAGCCAGGTCTTGAACTGGCGCCCATATGGGATATTGGTGCTACAGGCGGATGCTTAACCTACTACACCACAGCGCTGGCCCCAAGTCTTTTCATCCTAGACTCCTGACACGCACGCCAGCTCTCGTCTTGCCTGGAGCCTGTGGTCTGGCAGGAACACAGAGGCCCACCGGCACAGCACATGGGGCCAGTGACCGGGGGAATGTGTCTGTGCTGCCCATGGCATCCATCACGATTGCTTCCTTGCTGTGCTGATGGAATCAAGGAGTCCGGGGAAGGGCCTGCATCAGAAGAGGTAGGTCCTGCTCCGGTCCTCACCACAAGACCTGGATCAGGTCCCTTCCTGGCCTGTAACCGGGGGAAGATGCCCCCAGTGGTTCCTCCATGCTACTGCGAGGACTGGGTGCGAATTCGCTCAGTAGAGTAGGAGGGGCCACCACATCAGAGACTTTGTGTCACAGAGCTTTAAGGTTGAAAGGTTTTGTCATTTCCTGCTGGGATGACGGCTGCTGTAGCCTCGAGGCCTCAGCCCTCCGGAGCCACAGGCCCTGAAGTCCAAGATCAAGGGAAATGCCCCAGCTGGGGCAGTGGCTACCCACCTGCAGAGCAGTCCCTCATCTGAGCCCAGCCTTCCTGGCAGAAAATTCCATGTTGGCTGTGATAGAATCATGGGGTTTTTGAGACCCCTGGGCATTACCACATGACCTGAGTCAGGATGTCTTTCCACTGGGTTTGGAAAGAGTCGAGGAGATGGGTCCTTCTGCCTGACTGGTCCTTACCAAGTGGAGGGTCTTGGGATACAGACATGATGGACAGGCCCTGCCCTCCCAAAGCTTATGGCCAACTGAGGGAAGAGACAAGCTGTCGCTCCCCCTCTTCGTGGAGGAACGACACAGGACCCTGCGCTGTTCTTTTGTCTGCTCGGCCCTCCCCGGGTTTGCTGCTGGTTCTTCCCGGGTTGGCTACCGTCCCTTCCACCTCCGTGGAAGGGCGGTTCCCCCTGCCACATTCCCCACTTCCGCGGGGGAGCGGCACACCGCTGGCCGGCTCTCCCGGGGGCTGCTCAGGTGTTCCTTCAGATAGATGTTCCTGGTGCATGTTGTCTCTCTCCTCCTTTATAGTCCTCTTCACCAATCCCAACTCTGCTACCCACACGCCGAGTACGCTGCTCTCCTCCAATCAGGAGCAGGTCCTGCTGTTTATTGGTTGAACTGGAGGCAGCTGTGTAGAAGCTGTTTCCTCCTCTCCCAGTGCCATATTGTGGGAGAGCAGATGCATAGAATAAGTCTTAATTCCAGTAACTTAGTCTAGTCCGAGTTGCTCCCCACAACAAGCTATGGGAGAGGGATCTAAGAGGACTACATGTGGGATGGGAAAGGAATAGAGGGGAGGACCCCTAGACCCATCTGGGATATAAGAGTTACACGTTGGAGAAGTAATTTACATCCTGTGACTCTGGAGCCAGACTGCCTGGATGTGAATCCTGGTTCCATCATTTTCTTTTCTTTTTTAAAAGATTTATTGAAAGAGGTATAGCGAGAGAGGGAGAAATAGAGAGAGACCTTCCATCTACTGGTTCACTCCCCAGAAGACCACAATGGCTGGGAGAGGGCCAGGCTGAAGCCAGGAGCTTCTTCCAGGTCTCCCGTGTGGGAGACAGGGATCCAAGCACATGGTCCATCTTCTGCCGCTTTCCCAAGTGCATTAGAGGGAGTTGGATCAGAAGTGGAGCAGCCGGGACATGAACTGGTGCCCATATGGGATGCTGGCATCACAGGTGGCAGCTTTATCTGCTACGCCACAGCACCAGCCCCTCAATCATTTTCTGACTATGTGAGTTTGCATAAAGAGTAACAGTAATAGGGTGCATCCTATGGAGCTGTGTGAGCGCTAGGCCATGCCTGGTACGTAGTGAACCCTCCATTACCATTAACTCCATCTGTCCCAATGGAATGTAGGATACTGGAGGCAAGTCTTCATTTATTCCCTGCTATATCCCCAGTGTGGCACGAGGCTGGCACACAATAGTGGCTCAATAAATGCTTGCTAAATGTGAAATTGGCACTTTCTTATTGCTAATTTCCCACCCATGAGAGAACAATGTTCCCCAACTCAGAGAATCCTAAAACAATGCCACAACAAATCATCCTGCCCAACAATTCTTGAAACATCTGCTTCAGTGTGGTCATGCGAGACTTGGCTATGAAATCCTCTCTGGTTTGGCCTATAGCCTAACAACCTATGTGGAAAAAAGGAAGAAAGAAAAAAAAGATACTACAGGGCTGGCGTGATGGCCCAGCAAGTTAAGTAAGTTGCCACTTGCCAAATGGCCAACCCATATCAGAGTGCTGGTTTGGGTCCCCATGGCTCCACTTCCAGTCCAGGTCCTTGCTAATGCACCTGGGAAAGCAGAGGATGGCTCCTGCCAGCCACGTAGGAGACTCAGATGGAGTTCCAGGCTCTTGACTTTGGCCTGGCCTGACCTGACCCCTGGCCATTTGGGGAGTGAACCAGTGGATGGAAGACCTCTTTCTCTCTCTCTCCCTCTCTTTCTGTAATGCTGCTTTGCAAATACTTAAAAAAAAAAAAAAAAGAAAGAAATTGCAACAGATAGAAAGGGAGTAGAGAACCAGACAATTAGATTCATAAGAATTTTCTTTTTAAGTGCCACTGAGAGGTTGATTTCCTGGAATCTTGACTTTTTTTTCTCTTGTAGCACCAGGCTAATTTCTCTCTTCCCTGAACCTAAGAGCTGTGTTAATGGGAATAGCAGCTTTGTATTTAGGAAGGAGGTAATATCCACAGACTGAAAACATCGTGTCATTGTGGCCATTTGCCAGCTTTCTGTAAAAACCTGGCACTCTCCCCTCCTTTTTAAGGCCTTGTTTAATCAAAGCTGCTCCCTTGATATTCATTCTTGGAAAACAAAAATGAAATAGAATAAAAAGCAACGGCAGCCCCCCTCTCTGCCCCAAGCACTGCTGAGAAAAGTCCGAGTCATCAGATCAACTCAGTTAACAAAGGCTCGCGGACAAGCTCCGGGCTCTCCCCGCTGGGAGGATCTCGTTACCACCACCAGGCCGCCACCCAGCTTTCTCCACCGCAGCCCCTTTGTAGCTCTGGTTTGCTCTCGGACACAAAAGCCTCCGTCTGGAAGACAAGGAGCCCTTCCTGCCCAGTTCACTCTTTGCTGAGAACGCAACAAGGTGGGAGAGGAAAGAGGCAGGTGGGAGGGCGCTGGCCCAGGGGCCCTGGAAATGTCAGTCCCCGCCCCCGCCCCACTGTGGGGCAGGTGTGTGTGGGGGTCACACCTCCTCCAGGCAGCCACCCCACTGGTCCCCAGCCAGTGATTCATCGTAGCTGCTATTTGCTTTTCCACCTGCAGTGGAGAATTCAGCCTTCCATCTGCTGCAGAAAAGAAGCAGCCAGCTTTCAGGTCACCCTAGGCCAAGTTTCCAGAGGGAAGGAAGCACCTTTCAAATTCCTGACACAGCGGGTAAAGCCGCCGCTGCCCACAGTGCCGGTGCAGGTATCCCACAGGGGCACCAGTTCCAGTCCTGGCTGCTCCACTTCCTATCCAGCTCTCTGCTATGGCCTGGGAAAGCAGCAGAAGATGGCCCAAGTCCTTGGGCCCCTGCACCTGTATGGGAGACCTGGAAGAAGCTCCTGGCTCCTGGCATTGGCCTGGCTCAGTCCTGGCTGCTGTGGTCATTTAGGGAGCGAACCAGTGGATGGAAGACCTTTATA